CCCCCCTACTCTTGACTTTAATGATTTAATGAACAAAACTACAAAATCGCCCAAATCTGAAGGCCAAGATTTGTAGCTCTGCAAAAGAAAAAATTTTATTGTCGATAGTAGATTAAATGTTCTTTACTTTGCTCTTAACATGCCACTTACTTAGCAGCGGGATTTTTACAAATTTTAAAGAAAAAAGCAACTAATTTTTTAGTTGGTCTGCAAGTGTTTATAGAATTGATACTGTCCTTCAAACTCACACTTTCTGTAATGAGGCTCCCCACCTGTTGTGTTTTGTATTTTGTTTTCTAATAAAATGTCAGAGCAAACTTTGCATTGTAAAATTAGTATGGTTTCTTTGTTTCAGGGATCTAATCTTCCACCTGTTCGGAATACAATTCACAAAAAGAAACTGAAGAAGAAGAAGAAAGAGAAAGAAGTTCCCTCAGATAAACCACGGACTGGAAAGATCAGTGGCTTTGATTTCCGAGCTTGGGACCAATTTGACGTGGTAAATTCTGACGTTCTGAGTGTGATGTTGTGAAATGTCAATAATTTGTTATGTATGCAGACTTTTAATAATTGCGTCTTTTTCGCAGTGAATTACAGAAGCCATCATCCTATGCACTTACACGCATGGCCTGCTATGTGTCTTGACAGACTATCCTGAAGCAAGCAATTGCATGATATAGCTCTTCCAGGATGTTAGACATGAGACATGAAGTAGTACAAGTACAGATTGCCCAAGTTTGTAGTAGCTTTTGGTTGATATGTAAAAAAAAACCTGTCAGATAATTGTTTAGCTGACAAACAAAGAGCTTGGAAAACTGCATTCTAAAATGCCCTCTTTGCTGGTTGTATACCATCTTCATGGAAATTACTACATTATAGCTGTGAGCTCTTTGTACTTGTTTGTAATATAGTGTTGCTGCTTAAAATCCGATCCTTGCACAACTGAGTATACAGTTTAATGACTGTGTCATTGTCATGTGCTGCAAAATTTGTACTGTTGCTAGAGGTATTTCTTTGTCCTGAAAAGCCACATCATGTGTTTATACTCCATTTATATTTGCTCACCTGTTGTTTTCACCCACATGGGCAGCAGAAGGTTAGTGGGGCATCTGTTTTGGTAGATTTTTCTACGTATGACTCATCTTTTTCTTTTGTTTTGACCTGATCATGGCATATTCTGGCTTCTATATCACTGACTCGTCATAGTCTGCAAGTCAGTTGAATCTTACCCCCATGACTCGATATTTCAGGAAAAAGCTTTGGAAGAAGTCGATAAAGATGAAGGCAAGAAGGAGACATCGTCATCGGAGTATGAAACGGATGAGGAATGGGAGCTCGAGAGAAAGAAACATCTAGCTGGACAAGAAAAAGATAAGGTGAGGAAAGCTGTAGTAAAGATATGATAAGATGAATATGTTGCCCTCTTACCAGAACTGTATTTTAGGTTGAGAAAACATGTAAAGGTTTGGACGTTGAATATATGCATTACTTTTGGTACAAAGTACAAGACAATCAGGCTCAAAATAATGGGAGTGCTTGTTTTAGTAGCTCTGTCTTTCTTTATTGTTCCTTGTATACTTTTGTTAAGCTGATATTAAATTTATCTTTAAGTTTGTATTGCAATTTGTTTCTCATCATCTATGTTGTTATTTATTTATTATGGGGGGGGTACCGAAAAGCAAGTCAACTGCACACCCTTTCACTTTTTTCTCCATCATTAAAAATTTAGCAGTTAAAGGTTCTTCTGCACTTCTTTCTTGCTGACTACCTTTATGAGTGCATTCATTAGGAATAATTAGCCTTCATTGATTCTCGATTGTGTGTCCAATTGACTTAAAAAGTCGCCAATTACTTTTTATGTATAGGGTAATGACTTCCTGAAAAGGGGAGATATTGACAAAGCTGTGGAAGCCTACTCAAAAGGTATGGACTTTGACCCCACCAACGCCATTTTGCCTGCAAACAGAGCCATGGCTCTACTCAAACAGCAAAAGTAAGTTCAGCTCTTTGAATATACAGTCGAACCTGCCCTGATGGCCACCTCTATAAGATGGCCACCTGTACAAACAGCCACTTTCTATTCCCCCCCTTGCTTTTTTAATATATATATAATTTAACTGTGTAAAACGACCACCTGTCCAACATAGCCACGACGACTATATTTCAATACACAACCTCTATCACACCAAACAATAACACCTGTCTTAGCCAATCATCTGTCGTTGTTGTTAGGTAGTCCCTCCAACTGATTATGTTGCGGTGGCCCCTCCCACTGTTGACCAGAAGGTAACAATATTTTCAGCTACCGGTACTGGCGAGGTAACCGTGTGATCCCTCATAACCCATTAGATCTGCCTGCAACTCGTACACAAATCGTAAGTGAGATGGGCGGTCACTGTTTACCCAGTCTGTAACAAAGTAACAAAGGACGTCAACATGAACTTGCGACAGAAGCGTTGCTCGTTCTCCGAGTGGTGGCGACCCATGTGTTTGTTTTACCGTGGCACTGGCGTCTTCTTCATCTGACATATTTTGTTTTATTGCCACCCTTGTACAAAAAATCTGCAACAAAATATAAAAAAGCGAACAAAACAAAAACCAGTGAAAACAGCAACAATAACACCAATGCTGCAACCTTAGATTGGGACCTCAGAAGAGAATGGTTTGTTTTCTTCATTTTGATCAGTCCTGCCTAAGACGGCCTCCTGTCTTATACGGCCACTTTTCCCCTTGACAATGGGTGGCCGTCTTACACAGGTTCGACTGTACTTTTCACCACACATCTGTGGGGGAAGGAGGGGGGGGGGGGGGGGGTGTAGTGGTGATTTTGTAATGTAGTGTGATTGGGTTTTCTCATCAGTTAGTTTTAAAATATTATGTACTTGGTGACAACTTGTCACTGGAAACAAATTGATCTATGATTTCACTCTTACTGCTCACAATATGTTGGTTTGTTGGTTTGTTCGTTGGTTTGTTTGATGGATTTCTTGTTTAGATATGTTCGTTTGCATTGAGGCTTTGTGCAACTTGTAGAGTAGAATCATTGTCATCTTTTTAATGGTTTTCATAACCTGTCACGCTTAAAGCCAGCTCATGGGTAGTTGGCGGGTGTTCTGGTGTGGTTTGCTCCTTCTTTCCTATCAAACATTTATCGTCGTTATCTGTGCTTGTTACTCTCTTGTAACACTTCTAATCGGCGGCACTTATATGTCCTAACAGATTCGCAAGTGTCGTAAAACTCGTACTAAAACAAAACAAAGTCAGCTCAAGTTGGTAACTTAAGCTCAAGAACTGGAGCACTGGCCCTAGCCTGTGCATCGAGCTGTTGTGCAAAGAGATATATAGGAATCACAAGTTCTGTAAACTGGTGGGGGTGGGGGGGGGGGGGAGGGGGGATTCAGGGCTGAAAGAGTTAGGAGCTAATTCCCCCGAGTGTCAACGTCTTGTCTATACCAGTGCTTGCCCACCTGGGTGATATCGCCCTATAGTTGTTTATTTTAGTTTTAGTAGAGGTTTTACGGCACTCGCAACTGCATACGGTCATATGAGCACCAGAAGATTAGAGGTGTTACAAGAGAGTAACAAACATTAAAAAGAAGAAGGGGAGATAAGGACGATAGATGTTTGACAGGAAAGAAGAAGCAAGCCACACCAGAGCACCCGCCAACCACCCACCCCAATAGTGGACAATTTGGTCCTTTTGGCGGGCAGTGAGGATCTCCTGCGTAGGGAAAAGTACTATTGAAACTTTCAGTATTTCTCAAAAAATCATTTTGACGGACTGCTGTGCAAAGCGTGCGGATTAGATTAACAAGTAAATTTCCTCTTTGGAAAGTGGTGGCTCAGAGTACCCCACGTCGTAGGGTTATATGATAGTAAAACACGAGTTGGAAATCTATATACAGTCAAACACGGGTAACTTGAATTCGTCGTGGATTGGAAATAGAGTTCGAGATTTCCGTAATTCGTTGTCCGTGAAAGCCCCAAATACAAAGAAATAGAGAAAATATAAGTTTAAGTTGTGAAAATTTTAACCTCATTAAGGTGGCAAAAATGGGCACTGGCTATAAAAAGGTTGACCAGCACTGATCATTGATTATGCTTTTTTGGGGCATGTGGGGTTATTGGTATCATCTGAAAGCCTGAGCATTTGCCTTCCTTGTGGGGGAAAAATTATCTATCTATCCTGAATAGAAGTAGAAGTATTTGCGATTGAAGGAGGTCAGGGTCACCTGATTTCAGAGGTAAAATTAGCGAGAAAATGGCAGCCAAAGTTTGGTAACTTCCATAGCCTGAGCGTCCTTGAAAACTGAAAATTTACATTTTTTTGCGTCTTCAATCAATGTTTTTCTGTAAAATCCACACAAAAATGTGTTTTTAAACTGACATAAAAGGTATTGAGCAAAAAAAAAAAAAGAAAAAAAAAATAGAAAAAAATTGCCTATCGGCCAAAGAAAAGGCTGATTTCTTTGATTTCATTATTTTGATGAGCGCCTGATTTTACCACGATGCCTCCTATATGTCTGTGGGTCAGAGATAATGGACTAGTGTATTCTTCACAGGTTCGCCGCTGCTGAGCTGGACTGTACAACCTCCATATCCCTGGACCCGATGTACGTGAAGGCTTACCTCCGGAGAGCCACGGCGAGGTCAAGTCTGGGCAAACTGGACGAAGCCGTCGCTGATTTCAACCGGGTCCTGGATCTGGAGCCTTCAAACAAACAAGCCAAAACTGAGATTGAGAGGCTGCAGAAGGTGAGATGGTGTGTGTGTGTGTCTGTTAGTGTGTGTGTGTGTGTGTGTGTGTGTGAGAAAGAGAGAGACAGACACACACACACACACACTCATGCACACACACACACTCACAAATACATGCACGCACACACACACACACACACACACACACACACACACACTCATAAATACACGCACACACTCACACACACACACACACACTCACACACACACACACACACACACACACACAGGGAAAGTTTGTTTTGTTATGCAAGCAAAAAGGGAAGTGTCTCTCTTGTTTTGCTTATGGGACAAGGAAGCTATCACAACAAAAGCTGATTATCAAAACTCTTGGAAATTTCAAAACCAAATGAAAATTTCATTGGAAATGTTGACAGTTTTCAGAAAATAAGAAAGTGTAATTTGAAATGGCTTTTGGTTTTTAAGTGTTTTACGGCGCTCTCAATGGCATGAGGTTATATGAGCGCAAGAGACACTTTTTAGTTTTGTAGAAATTAATTTTTGAATTTTGCATGAGTGGCGGCCAAAGCCTACTCTTATCAATTTTTGACTACCTAGGGATCTTTAATGTGCACAACTTGCACACGGGACCTCTGAGATTTTTCGCCCGTATCCGAGAAAGCTAGGTGTTAGATCTTACCTATCCTAAGATCAGGGTTGCGGCTGAAAGACAGCAGTAAGAAGGAGCTGAGGAGTAGCAGTAGAAAGACTCAGGAGCCCAGAGGAGGGTGCAAAGGAGGTAGGGGTGGTAGCAGAAAGTGGAAACGAAAGTAGATGATAAACATTTTTGGAGAGCAGGAAAGGATGTGAAAAGAGAAAATTTCAGAGAAGAAAATTTTCTATCGCTGTCAGGTTACATGTTGAATGAGAGGCGAACACCGTAACCTGTAGACCACGAGAGCCCCCCGAAATGGCTTTACTGTACTTTGTATGTGATTGAATGACCTGTTGTGAAATGAGCAAAGAATTGGTGAAGGTGTTTCTTTTAGAAAACAAAGGAAAAAGAGAAAAAGTAAACAAATGTGCTGGCTTCGGTATGTCATGCCTTGAGTGTTTTACCTCATATAAAAGCTGATTTTTTTTTTTTTTTTAAAATTTATAGAGGAAGTCATGCTGCAAGAGGCATGTTTGGGGTTTTTTTGTGATTGTGTTTGATAAGATCTAACACCAAACCTCAGATAAGGGCGAAAAAATCTCGGAGGTCGCATGTGCAAGTTGTGCCGATTAAAGATCTCTTGGAGGTCCAAAATCGATAAGAGTAGGCTTCAGTCGCCACCCAAGGCTAAATTCAAAATTTCCTTCCGACTAAAAATGTTACATGTGTCCCGCGCACTCTTATGACTTATGCAGTTGTGAGCACCGTAAAACACTTACAAAAATAAAAGAAAGAAGATTATGTTTACTTTACTTTACTTTTCCGATCCAGCGGCCATTTGGGTTCTAGCCCTTCGGTCTGTCGATATGGCAAAAAATTGACAGGTTTTAATCAGCTGTGCTTTGTCGCTGTATAGAGTGTTTCCGATGTCTGGGGAGGCAGGTAGGTAGGTGCTACACAGGTCGCAAAGTGCTGGGCAGTTAAAGAGGTGGTGTGGTACTGTTTCTTCCTGGCAGTCACACAACGGGCAGTCGGGTGGGGTATCCTTGCGGATCCTATTAAGGTAGGAATTTAGTGGTATGTGTTGTGTTCGCAGGCGAAATACGTGACTTGTTCTCTTCTACTCAGGGAATTTATTGCGTCTTTAGAGTTGGGGGCTGTCATGTGTGCAAATACAGTTCTTCCAGTTTTGCCCATTGCCCGTCCATTCAGCCACTGTTCCCTGGTGTTGTATTTGATGATGTTCTTGGCTGTCTGTTGTGAAACTGGGTTGTGTGGTTGTGTTTGTGATGCTCCCTTCTTGGCAAGGGTGTCTGCTCTGTCGAAAGATTATGTTTGAACACTCATGCTCCTAGACTGTTTTGATTAGCTTTTTTTCCCCTGATGAATGTCAACAGGGGCTGCTGTTGCTAGACATCTGTTGTATAATGGTATGTCTGTCATTTCCTCGAATATCTCCAGGAGCTGAAGAGGGAAGATGAGGCACCTGTGACGACAACGTTAACGGAGGATGAATGTGGTAGAGTGAAACCAATCTACAAGCCTCCTGAAGAAAGGTCAAAGGTAATTGTGTGTGGCTGGTTTGCAGGTGTTCTGGTGTGGTTTGCTCCTTCTTTCCTATAAAACATCCAGAGATGCCAACCAGTACGATTTTACGTATTTTAGAACGATTTTTGGCTGAAAATACGCGAATACGACTTTTCATGAAAAAATACGCATCCTGGAATGCGAAAACTACGAGATTCAGCTTGGGCGAGTAAATCTAATTATCTCAGGTCCCATCTTTTGTCAAAATAGTATCAGTATCTCAGAACTGGAATATTTGAAAACCAAGTCCGATGTGGTCAGTAAGTTCATTTTTGCCGGTTGTGATCGTGATATTATATTCGTTAATCTTTTCCCCGTCTGGAGAGTACGTTTCACTTTCACGCGAAAAGGCAGCTATGGCGGCAGGCGGAAGCGTATGCGACACCGAGGCTCGATCGGGAAAATCAAAATCTACTTTCGCTTTCGTTACCACCGAGAAGTTTGCCAGCAGTTGTCTGATAACGCAACATTAATTTGTGGCATGCAGGTTGTGCAGTATAAACACAATGTCGCCGTTCAAATAAAATGTAATAAATACTCTGACTCGTCGCTGTGCTGTCACTTATGGGAAAAAAAAGAAAAGAAAATACAAGCGTCGTCCGATTTTTAGATTGTCGGGCTCGCCATCGTGACCGGTCACTGATCCTGTGCGCATTCGCGTCATAAATAAATGCGGCATCGTAGTGAGTAAACACCGTCTTTGGTGGGAGAAACAGCGTTGCGAAGTATAGGACTACGGGCGGAAAAGGGGAGGAGATTATTGATTTTTTTTGGGTTTAAGATACTATCGGGGGTTTAAGGCAACACTAGAGGACAAAAACTTGGAAGCAATTTTCAGAATTTTGATTAGAGCTTTCTGCAAAGCGCGCGTTGGTGTAGGCCGTGTGCGGAATCGGGACCCCTCATACTTTGCAAGTCTGTGTTATTGAAATAAAGTGTTTGCTTTCTGTTCAAGACTGGCAGATTTTCAGTGTCACTGCATCTTGCCCTACCACAGTTGTTACAACTCTCACAGTGCATGGGTCTACTTGAGCCATTCAAGTTATTGCTTTTCTCTGAGTTTGAGTAATAATTTGAGTCTGTCAGTTCATAATATGAATCATGACACCTAGACTGGTTCTTGATAGTCGAAATTCTTGTTCTAAGCCCTTCCGAACTCTCAAAGCAGGATCTATTTTTTATATAATAATGAGAGGAAAATATTATACAATAGACTGAAATACTTATGTCGAACAAGACCCCAGTACAACATTGAACACTGACATGTTGTTTACTGGATACATGTATATTGTACGCGTGTGTGTTCCCTTTTTCGAGCTGGTGAACTAGATCTAGTAATTTTTTTTGGCTGGACACCCAGAACATTTTACTATTTCTGGTTGGTCGACCATCAATGATTTATTTATAGAGGCACCAGCCATCCATGTCCAGGAGCTGTTTTAGCCTACTGGTTGGTCGGTTGGTCGTGGGGAATACACATTTTCATATTTCCCAATACTCATTTCGGTTTTCTGTGGTTGGCATCTCTGAAACATCTACCGTCCTTATCTCTCCTCCTCCTTTTTTTGTGTATGTTACTCTCTTGTGACACATCTATTCTTCGGCACTTATTGTGTTGCAAGTGCCGTAAAACTCTTACTATTAAAAAAAGGTAATTGTGTACTCTGTGAAAGTTTAGAAGATGCTTCTGGGGAGGGGTTTGCAACCACAAGTGTCCTTTGGTGTGTTTTGTGTCCTTTTTTTTAATACATACCTTTTCTATGGGGTAGTCAGAGTAGTGTTGAATCAAGAGTGAAGTAGAATTCAGTTATTGATTGGTTGGTGGTGTCACCTCTGTCTTTTTTTTTTACCTGGGGCGGTGCAACTGACTGAAGTGTCTTTAGGCCATTCCCAAAGTGGGACATGTTCTTATGCACAGTAGAATTGTAAATGGGCTGATTCATCAATGTCATGCTCATAACTGTGCCTGAACTGCAACAGGGAACTGCTGCTTTTTCTTTCCTAATCCTTGCTGTGGTCATTTTTCCTTTACTTCTTTTGTATGATTGTCACACTCTTGTGACCCTCTATTTCCGGGGTGCCTTGATAGTCAAAGCAGACTATGTGCTGTTGAAGGCAAAGAGGTGAGCAGAGTAAGTCTGATTCCCTGTAAGGACTTCTCTATTGACATTTAACCCTTGGCGCTCACATGACTTTATACAGTTGCGAGCGCCGTAAAAACTAGTAAAACTAAACTAAAAGATTATAATAAAGACTTAACCTTTGTCTTGTTACTGAAATTTTTCAAACTTATTGTAAACCAGATTCTCACCAAAGTTCCCCTTAGTGGATCAGAAAGACAAAGGGAAATGAGAAAATAAATGGTCTTCAAATCTTTGCATAGCGGGAACTTTTCTGGATGTTGATGAAAGGATTGTAAAAATGTTATTTTTGCTGAAGTTGTGACATGGTCAAATGTTTCTTTCAACTAACCAGGATTTGTTCAGGATATTACTTTGCTGTGGTTATGTTGTGAAGTTGGAAAAAATTCCTTGGTTTACCGCTGTTGTAATGGTTGCTTTTCCTCTTCCGTAGACGGTGCAGCGTGAAGTACTGAGAAGTCTTGATGTATCAAAAGAGAATATCAATTGATTTTTGTGATATTGTTATTGTTTCAGGAAGCAGCGTCCCTGCACTCCGGACATGTCCATTGATGCTCCGTTGCTCTCTCCAAAATGTTGCCAAGGGTCCTTCTACTGATTGTGCCAGTGCACATCTGGTTGAACGGATTTTTGTGATGTTTTGGGGAATCATAGTCTTGAAAGATTTCCTGTAGGCATTTTACATCAAGTCATCTCTTTTCCCCAGAAACCCCTATTCCGAGTCCCAATTGAAGAAATTGGGATCGAAACTGCAGCTAGACCTGCCCCAAGCGCTGATCAGAGTGAACTGGCCAAAAAGATTTCAGCTAAAGAGAAGGAAGACTTTGAGAAGCTATTTGTATCCTCAGCCTCGAGCCCAGCGGGCACCAAGATTGAGGAACTGACCACAACCAAACCCGCCCTCGTCAATGAGAGAAGAGATATGGCCCCGGAGGACAGAGCCAGTGATACCAAAAAGGAAATTCCAGGGCACGATAAAATAAAACAGGTCACGACACCTGTAAAGGCACAAGCATCCCAGCCGGAAAGTCGTCTTGAAGAGCAGAGTCGCTCTACTTCTAGAGACACCAAACACAAATCTGGCTCCGAGTCCAGTTCTGCAACAGTGTCTGGACCGAAAGTGTCAGCGGCGTCCAGTCTTGCCGTTTCTTCCAGTAGTGAGCGGACGTCCAGCGCCGATACCGAGGGAGCCGAGGATAAGTTGAGCCCTCCTCAGACATCGTTTCAGTTCCAGGCGGACTTCAAGCAGCTCAAGCGCAAGCCAGAGTCATTCTTCCAATATTTCCAGGTGAGTTGGGTGGAAGGAGAGAAGAGAACTTTACTGTCATCATCATCATCATCATCATCATCATTGTTTGGTAAGCAGGGTAGGAGGAAGAGTCTTGTTTTAATTTTAAACAAAAATAAAATAACAATATAAAATGTTTAAATTTGTTTAATAGCTCAACGTTTCGCTATGTGGGCCACTTTGGTTGTATCATACCAGACAATATAAAATGTTTAAATTTGTTTGATAGCTCAACGTTTCGCCCCGTGGGCTTCCTCAGGATCATCATCATCATCATCATCATCATCATCATCATCATCATCATCATCACCGCCTTTCTCACCGTAGATGAAGTTACAGCCACCGACAGACATTTTCCACTTTTTCCTATCTTGGGATGGCGTCTTGATATTTTTCCTCCATGTCTTTACCCTATTCTGGACATCATTTTCTGTGGAACTTCTCCAAGTTCTCCGTGGCTTCCCCCCTTGATCTCTTACCCTGTGGATTCTGATCCAACACTTTTTTTGTTATATATACTAACTTTGCTGTCCTCTTGGGAATTTTTTCTCACAGCTGTAGACGGACAATAACAAAAACAAGAACAGATAGATCTCAAATATAGCCCAGGATGAAATGTAGAGTTTGTTGTTCACACAGTCGCAACCTCATTTGTTACCACTGATCCGCCGAAATGCAGCCACTTTGGTTGTATCATACCAGACTGCTATGTGGGCCACATTGGTTGTATCATACCAGACTGCTATGTTGGCCTCTGTGGTTGTATCATACTAGACTGCTATGTGGGCCACTTTGGTTGTATCATACCAGGCTGCTTTGTGGGCCACTTTGGTTGTATCATACCAGACTGCTATGTTGGCCTCTGTGGTTGTATCATACCAGACTGCTATGTTGGCCTCTGTGGTTGTATCATACCAGACTGCTATGTGGGCCACTGTGGTTCAAAACCTCCCGGTGGGACATTCTTACACTTTGGTTATTTAAGGAAATTTTACAGAAGGGGGCTCTTGTGGCCTGGAGGTTAAGGTGTTCGCCTCTCATTCAAGGGTCCCACGTTCGAATCTGCGTAGCGACAGAAAAATTTCCTTCTCTGAAATTGCCTCCTTGAACATCCTTTCCTGCTCTCTAGCAATGTTCCGTCGTCTGCTTTGGTCTCCACTTTCTGCCCCTACCCCGCTCCTTTGCCCCCTCCTGTGGGCTTCTTGACTCTTTCTGCAGCCTTTCTTCTGCTACTCTTTGGCTCCTTCTTACAGCTGTCTTTTAGCCACACCCCTGATCTTCTGGTAGGAAAGATCTACACCAAGCTTTCTCGGACAAGGGCAAAAAAGTCTCGGAGGTCCCATGTTCAAGTTGCGCACGTAAAGATCCCTTGGTTGTTTAAAATGGATAACAGTAAGCTTCAGCCACCATCCGGGCAAAATTCAAAATTTCCAAACTACTGAAAATGTTTTATGTGTCCCGTGCCTTCAAATGACCTTAGGCAGTTGCGAGCGCCTTAAAACACTTACAAAAAAAAATCACTTACCCAACGGGGCCCCCCCCCCCCCCTAAAAAAAATCCCCAGAAGGTTGGAGGAGAGCACCATTTCTTGGTCCGTCTTCTTTACTCCATTGTTTCTGTCTGTCTGTTTTTTCCTCAGAACTCGGTGTCCATGATCAGGTGAATGTAGGCCTACTGTTCCTTCACCCAAACTCTAAAATGGCTTTCCATCCTCTTTGCTTATTCCTATTGGAAATTAAATCTTAGCTTTTAATTTTTAAAATAAGGGTTTAAATTATCGCATTGCCTTAAAATGATGTGCCTCACCTGTACCATTTCTTACCAGGAATTTTTTCTTACCCTGAAATGTAATGCTTGTCTCTTTTCTCACTGCTTATTTTCAAGTAGGCCCTACAGTAGTCTCCGCCTAAAAGCACGCCGTTCTAAAGCACGCCGTTCTAAAGCACGCTTTCGTTATCTGACGGGTCTTTTACTACTTAATTTAGATGTACAAACCCACGGTCACTCCCTCTAAACGCACGGTCACTCCCTCTAAACGCACGGTCACTCCCTCTAAACGCACGGTCACTCCCTCTAAACGCATGGTCCGATCCGTGGAACATGCTGACAGGTTAAGCTGAACAAAGGGAAATCTGCACAGCTTGCATAAGACAAGCCTAGACAGCATGATATTTGGTGAGACTGCCCCTCACGCCGAACAAAGAGAGTGATGGACAGCGTTTTCACACCCAACTTTCCTCAGACACAAAGATCTAGAACTGGTTGGTAAAATGTTGGGGGGTTGGGTGACTGAAATGTTATTTGATTGGTCACTGGGTTTGCGGCTGGTGTTTGGGTGACTGCATGTAATGTTTAATTAGACCTAGGCCTATGATGCGATACACACGTGAATGCTCGCCCATGAATTTTCGGTCGAGGGTGGTCGCTTGGAAAGCCACGTGGCAGGGCCGTCGACTCTGTTACTATCATCAACCGTTTCCTCTTACGCTATCTGTTCCCGACATTATATGGTGCGTATCTATACATTGAGTCTGTATCAACCCCGCCCCCAGACACACACCCATTCAACGCCTTTGTATTCTTAATCACAGTCGGGAAATCCTTCACAAAACCGTCACGTGTCGTCACATGATCAGCCAAAGTGACCACCATCCCAAAGGGAGGTCACTAGAATATCAAGGCAATGAGATGACTGCGTCCCTTCCTCCCTTTGCAAAGGTTCATGTAAACGCACGCTCTGTATAAACACACGCTAAGGAGCCCTACCGAGCACCGTGCGTTTAGGCGGAGACTACTGTATCGAGATATTTTTGTTGCCGAAAAAAACCCCTTCATTTAGCGATGTTTATCCACAGGCTATTCCTCCTGACAATTACCCCAAGCTGTTTGGTCAGAGTATAGATGCCGATATCCTCACCACCATTCTAAAAACCCTGGCTCTTCACCCAGAGAAGTAAGTGTCACTGCTTAATTCAACTCAGCATGTGAGCTGCGGGGATGATGGCTGTGATAGAGAGCAGCAGCTCAGAAAGGGGACTTGTGTCCCAAACTCTTTTATTTCAAAGAATGGTAAAGAAGTAATGGGAAAGCCCGTTTTTACCTTCAGCTTGAACGGTGAATATCGATTGTAATGTATTACGCTCTGTATTAAATGTATTGGAAGAAATAAGTCAACTCTTATTTTGTACTACAACCATCGCTGAGATTGATCGGCCAAAATGCTCAGTAAAACCCAGAAGTCGGCCTGTGACTATGAATAGTATAAAATTACTCTGGACTAACTTTTACCAATAGCTAGAAGCCTGAAAAAAAACCTCATGATATAGGCAATTGACGGTATAGTCTTTCCGTTTATTGCAACACAAGTATGTCTTATGTGGCTGACTTTGCCTTCTATCATTTCCCCACAGAGTTGATCTGTACTCGGTTCTGCACAGCCTCACTTTGGTGAAACGATTTTCAATGACAGCCATGTTCCTCTCCCGGAAAGAAAAACAAGGTCAGTCTCGTGTATTTGTTCTGTAACATCTTTGAATAAATAGCGTAAACGCAGCTTTCTGAGCGCGTGGTTTCAGTGAAGCGAAGGTAGTTCAGATTGCCGTTTCTTTGCCCTTTCGCTATGAAACACCAAATGTTGTACACCGTGAAAGAGTTCCGCTTTTCTTTGTTGCAATGGATGGTGAAAGTTGTTTTTGTGGAACTAACGATAGATCATGATGTTTGAGGTACCGTAGTACAATACTGATGTGCAATGATCTCACAGTCTTGAAAAAAGTTAGGCACCATATCTTTGTGAAAATGATTTACTCTGTCAATGTGATGATGTTTGATGCACTTGGTACTCTTTTATCATCTGTCACCGTCACACATGGCGTTGCAAACTGTTGGCAAATTTCACAATGTTTGATTTGAAAAAACAGCTGCCATTTTCTTAAAAATTGGTTGAGCAGTAAAAGAATGGTACCAAGATTCTCAGGAAGCGTAGGCCTTTCATATGATAAATGTGGCATACAGCTGCTTTGGAAATTTAGTTTCTGATACCTGCATTGAATAAAAAGGTGAAATCTGTCGACAAAATCCCCAAATTTGATTCTCATGAAATTGTGCACTGACTGGGGATGAAAATTTACGTAGGCCCGAGGGATCTAGAGTTGGGTCTCTCCTGCATGTGTTAGGAATCACGAAAAAATGTAACATCGAGGACTGACAGTGATCTAGATCTAGAGTTGGGTCTCTCCTGCATGTGTTAGGAATCACGGAAAAATGTAACATCGAGAACTGACTGTGACAGTACTGACAGACTATGCTGAGTGGCTAGCTACAGGTCCAGAGCTCGATGTACTGCCTTTTCAAGTATTACTTGCCCTCCCTCTGTAAGATCCCATTTTGGTTGTGTCCCAAACTGAATGCTGTATATGTTGACACGACAACTGTGGTGAAGTGATAAAGACGTTCCGGTATGTGGGTGGTTGGCGGGTGCTCTGCTTCTTCTTTCCTATCAAACATCTAACGTCCTGATCTCTCCTACTTCTTTTTTATGTTTGTTACTCTATAATCTTCAGCACTTGTGTGACCTTATTGTGTTGCAAGTGCCGTAAAACTTATATTAAAACTGAAAAACATTCTGGTATTTTTCCTCACCCCCCACCCCCCCTCCCTCCCCCTCCACAGTGGTGAGTGATCTCATCGACTCCATCAGCAAGACAGGTCAGCGGCCCGACTCCGAGCTGAACTCACTGAGGAAGGCGTACGACTTGTGACCCCTGCCCGAGTGTATTTGTGACGTGAATGAATCAGAAAATGTTTTGACGATTTTGTAGCTCTTCATTCCTCCTCATGGTGTGTTGTTTTCATTTTATATAGGGTGTGAGATTACATCGACGATCAATGTATCTGTACTCTTGGAATCATTGTTAAAATGTCCTGTCTATGCCTGTGATAACAGACAGTGTTTGAGATAGAACATTTTATTGGTCACCTGGTTCTTCGACTTGTTTGCTCAGTTCATGGAAAATGTAATTAAGCGTCTGACAGAGCAAAATGCTTTCTACGAGTCTATGCAGATGCTTCATCTTGTACCAAATTCAGTGTGACCCTTGTAAGGTGGGGTGGAGGGGGGGGGGTGTCATACAAGTTTTACGGCACTTGCAAAACACAATAGGGTCATATGAGTGCCGAAGATTAGGTTTGTTACAAGGGAGTAACAAACACAAAAAAGGAAGACGAGGAGAGATATTGACGATAGATGTTTGATAGGAAGGAAGGAGGAGAGATATTGACGATAGATGTTTGATAGGAAGGAAGGAGGAGAGATATTGACGATAGATGTTTGATAGGAAGGAAGGAGGAGAGATATTGACGATAGATGTTTGATAGGAAGGAAGGAGGAGAGATATTGACGATAGATGTTTGATAGGAAAAAGGGAGCAAACCACAAAAGAGCATCCTCCAATCAGCCACTTGCGAGGTGTGTCAGTATTTGTGAGGTGTGTCAGTATTTGTGAGGTGTGTCAGTATTTGCGAGGTGTGTCAGTATTTGTGAGGTGTGTCAGTATTTGCGAGGTGTGTCAGTATTTGCGAGGTGTGTCAGTATTTGCGAGGTGTGTCAGTATTTGTGAGGTGTGTCAGTATTTGCAAGGTGTGTCAGTATTTGCAAGGTGTGTCAGTATTTGTGAGGTGTGTCAGTATTTGTGAGGTGTGTCAGTATTTGTAAGGTGTGTCAGTATTTGTAAGGTGTGTCAGTATTTGTGAGGTGCATGGATGGCTTGTGACTCCCCCACAATGTTTATTATGTCTATAGCTGAATGTGTTCGCGACTGTTGATGGAAACATCAAGGGTCTGCAGTGTGATCACCACTCATCTGGCCCATTGATTTAATATTTGATTTCAAATTGTTTGAATAAACAAATCTGCTTGAATTTTACGAATTGAAGTGTATCACAAGTTATTTTCAGTTTGTCTGCTAAAAAAAGAATGTTACTCCCCTCTACTCTATAGAAGAAGTATTACATCTAGCTCTGAAATGGTGAAATTTTAAAGCCCTTATCAACACTATTAGATTATTGAAGAGGCGTGGGACCTCCAAGTTTAACATCCATCTCTGAAAGGACCGAGCCAAAAAGGAAATTTGTGTGAAAAGCCTTTCTCAAGGACACAACATTGGACCAAGCTGAGGCTCGAACCTCATCTAGTTCTGTACTAAAGCAAAAACAAACCACAAAAAAAAAACAACAACAAAAATACATACATACAGATAATGATAAAAACAAATGATATTGTAGAATATGCAGCTAAAAACTGAAAACAATTTATTTCATGAAAACTAATATTTCACCATTCATTTCAACCATAAATCAGCGAGAAAGCATCCATTCTTTCAACCTATCACAGTTATCCAGGAAACACACACAGCACTTACACACAGAATCACAACATAAATAGCCAAACCAAACGCTACTACAACAGAAATTTCTTCAACTGTTTTTTGTAACCACGATGACAATACTGCGACAATTCTTTCTTGGTGACCCACACGTAATCGGAGGCAACATCTGTGTTAGGCGTCACGTCGCCTTCTCTGTACCAGGCTTTGTAGAAAAACAGCTGTGGAGGGGGGGGGAACAAAACAAAACAAAGCAGTTGAAAAGTTAGGATGTAGAGAGCAAGCAATGTTGTCATGGAGGAGGGGAAGGAGGAGAGAATGCCATGAGAAATCATACCACACGATCTAACCTAAATAACTTTTTAAAAGGTTTAATAAGTGTTTTATGGTACGGTACTTGCAACATGATAAGGTCATATAAGTGTCGAAGATTAGAGGTGTTACAAGAGAGTAACAAACACAAAAAAGAAGGAGGGAAGATACAGACGATAGATGTTTGATGGGAAAGAAGAAGCAAACCGCACTAGCCAACCAGAACCACCCACCAATATAACTTATAAGATTTTGAATCATCAAAAGAACGATGTTTAACCCCTTCCTGACCTATATGACCTACGTCATTCATCATTTTTTCTTACATGAAGTGCGAGCCAAGATGCTGCTGTGACGTACAGCATTCGTCATGCCTTATGAAGTGCGAGGACCATGATGACGAATGCCATTTGTCATTAGTCATAGGCTGTGGGTGTTTGGCGGGTGCCCTGATGTGGTTTGCTTCTTTTTTCCTATCAAACATCTATCGTCCTTATCTCCCGTCCTTCTTTTTTTATGTTTGTTACTCTCTTGTAACACCTGTAACTAATTTTCTGGCGCTCATATGACCTTATGCAGTTACGTGCGCCATAAAACTTATTCTAAAACAAGTCATAGATTGTATTCTGCATACTGCTTCTATAAGATGCATTTCGTAAAACTGATTGCAGATTCGCCTTTGAAAAAATTTCTTCCGTACAAAGACATCTTTTCCTTTAAGTCTATACAGTTAGTATTAGTAGTATTTGAAAACCGGGTCTAATTACAGGACACTGACAACTAAATCTAGCACTACTCTGTGTCTCTGGGGATCCAAAACTGTGCTCGGTTAAGCACAAAATGACACTGAGTCACAAAGGGGGTTATGTTGAGTTGTTACGTGAAAATATCACAACATTCCTCTTACTTGGCTCAGACCTACAGGAAATGGAAGTTCATTATTCACAGAAGGTAGCTTTAGTTTTTGTTTTTGTAAAGTGTTTTATGGCGCTCGCAACTGCATAAGGTCATATGAGCGCGCGGGACACACCTAATATTTTCAGTTGGTAGGAAATTTTGAATTTTGCCCGGGTGGCGGCCGAAGCCTACTCTTATTGATTTTAGACCACCAGGGGATCTCTAACGTGCGCAACTTGCACACGGGCCCTCCGAGATTTTTCGCCCTTGTCCGAGAAGGCTAGGTGTAGATCTTTCCTACCAGAAGATCAGGGGTGTGGCAGAAAGACAGCAGTAAGGAGGAGCCAAGGAGTAACAGTAGAAAGGCTGCAGAAAGAGTTAGGAGCCCAGAGGAGGAGGCAAATGAGGTGAGGGGGTGGGGGGCAGAAAGTGGAAATGAAAGCAGACAACAGAACATTGCTAGAGAGCAGGAAAGGAGGTGAAAGGAGACAATTTTAGAGAAGAAAATGTTTTGGTCGTTACCCGGATTTGAACTCGGGACCTTTGAATGAGAGGCCAACACCTTAACCTCTAGGCCACGAGAGCCCCCGGTAGCTGTAGCCCTTTACATAATGATACAGACATTAATGAGACATAAAAGTAAAATCCCTACCACATCTGTCGCCAACTGTCGGTTAGTGCACGACTGACTACAGAACTGGCCAGCCATGTTCAAATCCTCATTGTCCATTGTTTATTGTTTGGCGTCCGTGGCCTAGTGGTTAAGCTCTCGGACTCCTAACCGTAAGGTCGTGGGTTCGAATCCCGTCAAGGGCCCGACGTTGTGTCCTTGGGAAAGGCACTTTACATGAATTTTCCTCACTTCACTCAGGTGGGAATGGGTACCTGGCTATAGACAGCGAAAGATCTTGTCAGTTTGTTAGTGTTTGAGCGCTTAATCGGCTGCTTGCACTGTATGCTTCCCGGGAAGCTGAGAATGTTTCGGAGTGTTCTATAGTCTACTGGGGTAATAATATAGTGTAAAGCGCATAGAGCCTGCTGATGAGCGGGGATACGCGCTATACAAATGCTATCTATTATTATTATTATTATTTATTGTTTCAGGAAGCACCATCCCTGCATTCCGGACATGTCCATTGATGCTCCGTTTGCTCTCTCCAAAATGTCGCTAAGGGTCTTTTTACTGATTGTTCCAATCTCTTTTATCCTAAGAATCTTTCATTTCAAAATATTATATCTTGTCTGTTGCAGGCGCTTAAGTTAATCACTTTTTAGTTTTAGTAAGAGTTTTACGGCACTTGCAACACAACAAGGTCATATAGATGCCGCAGATTAGAGGTGTTACAAGAAAGCAACAAATGCAAAAAAGAAGGAGGGGAGATAAAGATGATAGATGTTTGATAGGAAAGAAGAAGGAAACCACACCAGAGCACCCGCCAACCACCCACTAAGTTTAATCAATCAGAGGTCTCACCGCTTTAATATTGAAATAAAGGGACCACAACCCCATACAATAGAAAAAACTAAACAAAAAAAACACAAACAATACACAAACATGAGCAGGCCCAAAATTAAAGAAGAAAAATATCAGTGTTTGAGAACATTGATTTCTTTTGAGGGGACTTATTTCGTTTTTCTTTTTCTTTTTTTTTTGATGTGTATTAAAGCCAAGATGGATTCTCTTGACTTCACTGGCAACAACCATTATTATAATACTAGCTGGGCCCCCGTTCGATGAACGGATTGAGACCGAAGCGTGTTGATTGTTCCCAGTAGCAAGAATATAGATTTGACAAAGGAGTCCAGAAAAAGCGATGATGGGCATCAAATGAAAGAAACACAGTCGAATTTAGCACCAAGTAAAAAAAGAAAACATGAGGCTAGATCTATACGGGTCACACACTTAAAATAGTGTTCAGTATTGCGCGACAATGCGCGATAGTATCGAACGGAAGTACGACTTGAAATAAACAAACCTGGCGGATTTTCTAAAATTACAGAGACAGAAACGTCGGCCTACAAAAGCGATCAGCGAAATAAAGAAATTTAGCATTTTGCAGCAAAACTGTCTCAAAACTGAAAAAACCAAGGGCATCATGATCTGGAGAATATTCTAAAGAATCTTTAGGCGAAAACCGCAAGTCAATCGATGCAGCCATTAAAAAGCCTTTTGAATAGCAAAATTCGGCCACCACAAATAGATAATAGATATAGGATATTTTTTGTTCAGACTTTTTGTGAAACAGGTACAAAATGTATACAGAAAATGGGATCGAGGTCTTAATTTGCAGAATCGTGGAATTCAAGTTATGGGTGTTCATCAAGTTTAGCAGTTGTGAGGCAGCGTGGTGGAATCAGGCTCTCGTCAATTTTTGGGTATGTAGAGTTATTGGTATCATTTTAAAGCTTGTTCATTTGTCTTTATTTGGATGAAAGTAATATCCATTTACCTTGAATACAAGTTGAGATATGACAGAAGGAGATAGGGGTCACTGTTTTCACAGGTAAAATTAGAGAGAAAATGTCCACCAAAGGCTAGTTATTTCCTTAGCCTAAGAGTCAGTGGTAACTGAAAATTTACATTTTTTGTGCCTTTCATCAACGTTTTTTCAGAAAAATTCACACAGAAATGAGATCTCTAATGGGCATGAAAGGTGTTGAGCAAAAAAGTACAAAATTGATAAAAAATTCACAAACCTGCGGAAAAATGCAATTTCCTTCACTTTGATTATTTGGACGAGAGCCTGATTCCACCACGCTGCCTCACATTTTACACGGTCTCTCACAAAATCCAATAATGTTATGCTGCACATCCACCGCTCAGATCAAATTAAATGGGATCACTGTTTGATCACAAAGTAAAGCAGTTGAGGGCACAGGCAGTGTATGGCCAGGCCCAGTTAGCTCCGCTACAACAGCCAGATTTTGTCACAAAGCAGATAAGGACAAATACAGTAAAACATGGACAGCTCGAACTCATCGGGACCGGCCTCAGTAGTTTCAGGGATCCGTAGTTCGAGGGATATCTCAGTTTAGTTTAGTTTTAGTAAGAGTTTTACGGCACTCGCAACTGCATAAGATCATGTGAGCGCCAGAAGATTACAGGTGTTACAAGAGAGTAACAAACACAAAAAAGTAGGAGGGGAGATAAGGACGATAGATGTTTGATAGGAAAGAAGGAGCAAACCACACCAGAGCACCCACCAACCACCCACAGAGGGATATCTTACAAATATAAAGATGGGGGGGGGGGGGGGGGAGAATGGGACTGCAGGCAAAGTTCAACGGAAGCGTGATTTTGAGTCTTCGGTGTTCAACCTATCCGCGTTAATTATATTGTACACTGAAACAGAGAAACAGAAGGAGCAGACAACATCATCCACCCACATAAATCACAGCACTAGAAAAACAACAAACAAACAAACAAAAGCCTGCATTCCCAAATTCAAATCACAAAAATTTCTGTAAAAACAACGGTAAAAAATCTGACCTTGACCCCTTTCTCCTCCTGAGGGTCAGGCAGGTCAAACTTGGCCACGGCACTGGGTGCCCCGCCCAGGAAGGAAGCTTTCACGTCTCCACACACAGAAGTCAGCGCCCTCTCGGCAGTCTGGAGAAAACAGGAAACGGTCATCGACAATCATAAACTATGACAATAGTATAGACCTTAAATTACATACAATTTTTCTTAAAAAGTCAGGTTTTACTAAACTTCTCCGATGCAGCAGCCAAAAGCCGGGTCTAAAACCGATGCCAGTGATAAACGGTTCATCACTCTTTTCTCTGCTTCGATGCTCTAAAAAACTCTACAGTGTAGCAGCGCACGTAGCGAACAAGCATATAGAGAGTAAATTGCATATACCGTAGCAAACAGATGTTCAGGTCCCCAATTTTTTCTCATACTGGGTGGGGTTAGGTCGTCTCTACCGCCCGACTCGTCACCTAAAAACAAAAGCGCTTGTTTTTTAGGCGATGAGTCAGGCGAGATCGACTCGTGTCATGACTGAGCTCCTTTGCACACCTCAATCTGGCAAGCAGACCGCCCCAACCCAACCCGATCCCCTGAATGGGCACCCCGTATTGCATGAAATATTCTTAACTACAGCCTAGACTTTGTACACATGAGACAAAACTTGCACGTAATGAAAGCAACTTCAGCCTCCGGCCAATTTCACAATGTGCGTGCTAGACTATTACCATTCCAGCCTTTTTATTTACTCACAGAATCAAAAAGGTGCCATTCATGCAGGTTTCAAACCACATTCTTTTTCCCCCCGTATCTATGCACTGTTGGCAATCCAAAGAATGATGACCATGGCAAACAGTAACAGCATAAGGCAATATCGTATGTGTCACAACGCAGTGGATTCAGGCGCTCGGCAATTTTTGGGCATATGGAGTTATCGGTATTATCTTTAAGGTTATTCATTTGCCTTGCTTTCCATGAACAAAATATCCTTTTATCCAGAATAGAAGTCAAGATATTTACGATTGAAGGAGGTGGGGTTGTCAGGTTTCAGAAGAAAATCAGCAAGAAAACGTTCGCCAAAGTTTGGTGACTTCCATCACTTTAAAGTCCTTGGAAACTGCAAATTTACATTTTTGGGGGCTTTAATATTTTTTCCATAAAAAATCCACACATAAAAGTGTTTTTGAAAGGACATACAATGTATTGAGTCAAAAAAAAAAAAAGAAAAAAAAAAAAGGTTCAAACTGGCCGAAAAATGCAGATTTCTTGGATTTCATTATTTTGACGAGTGCCTGATTTCACCACGATACCTCACATATTCAGTCCACAAACACGACTATTTAATTCTATATATATTTTACTCTCTTCCCTTGAGCCATCAGGTACACAAGGCAGAGAGCATTCAATGCCACACTTCCTGTCTGTCCCTGGCAAATTCCTCAAGCTTTGACACATCCAGATCCCGGGAGATTTCCTCATCCCAGATTGTACTCTGCCAGTTGGACTACCTCTTCCTCGTTTTCTATTTTGTCTCCTGTGCCACGTTCTGATCAAGCTCTTGTCTGCGGCATTCTCAAAAAACATGTCCCAAGTATCTCCATCTTCTCCTTTTTATGGTCGGGTTGATATCTTCAATGCCAGCTCTTTCCAACACTTTATTATTTATGAGACAAATTCATTCCACCAACTTCTGAATAAAATTCTAGTAGGCATTTCGTTCGAAAATAAAAATTTTTCTTTGAGTTGCTTTGTTTGTCTTCCACATCTCTGAGCCATACATCAGTGCCACCAAAACATTGCTATTATTAATAAATTATATCTTTTAATAACATGTAAATATATAATAAGTGGTCACAGTTAGAGCAACAGCAGTTAAAGTCCAAATGGGGGCTCTTGTCGCCTAGAGGTTACAGAGTTCGCCTCTCATTCAATAGGTCCAGGGTTCCAATCTGGATAGCAACTAATCATTTTCTTCTCTAAAAATGTTCTCCTTTCCCATCCTTTCCTGCTCTCTAACAATGTTCTGTCGTCTGCTTTCATTACCATTTTCTGCCCTCACCCCCTCACCTCCATTGCCCCCCCTCCTCTGCGCTCCTGACTCTTTCTGCAGCCTTTCTACTGCTACTCCTTAGCTCCTTCCTACTGCTGTCTTTCTGCCACACCCCTGATCTTATGGTAGGTAAGAGCTACACCCAGACTTCTCGGACAAGGGCAATAAATCTTGGAGGTCCCATGTGCAAGTTGCGCACACTTAAAGATCCCTTGGAGATCCAAAATCAATAAGAGTAGACTTCGGCCATCACTCTGGCAAAATTCCAAATTTCCCACCAACTGAAAATGTTGAACGTGTCAAGCGCCCTCATATGACCTAATGCAGTTGCGAGCGCTGTAAAACACTTCTAAAAAAAATATTTTTTAAAAGTCAAAATAAAGCAAGACAGACTGCGTCAGTCAATCGCACAAAGGAATAAAGTTGGAAGACGAGATTGGAGGAGAGGATCACCTGTTTCATAGTCTCCCCTTGTTCCCACTCCGCCTGAGGCAACACCCAGTGGTCCTTGCCCCCGATGTTCTGCTTGACCAGAAGATACAAACTGGAGTCCAGACACCTGTCCAGAGACCTTCTGTCTCCACTCTCGTCTGCCGCTGTCCGTCTTGACGCAGCGGTGAAAGCCTTCAGCTCCGCGTCCCATTTGTCCTCCAGATCTAGAGCAGTTTCTGTCTCTGCATCCGGATTGCCTTCTTCCTCTTCGTTTTCCTTTTTCCTCTTAGCAGCCTGACTGAAAGAAAAAAGAAAACATCACAGAGGAAAGTTCATGAATATGCATGGCAATGGAATATTAAACAGGAACTCATTTATTATCTATAACTTTTTCTCTCCTTCTACTCTCTGTTTGGAAACCAAGGCCCCAACTTCCAATATATAAGGAAAATAGTGTTTGAATGGTGCTATGTGAAAATACCTGGGGACATTCATTATAGAAGCACATAATGGCATTATACCTATTTGTTATTGGCAGTTGTTTGAAAATATATAAACTGTGCTATTCAGCAAAACATTATAAGTTGGGTGACCTTATTTGGGCCACAGTGTGGCCTAAATAAGCTAAACCCCCCTCCCTTACCTTATTTAGGCCACACTGTGGCCCAAATAAGCTAAACCCCCCTCCCTTACCTTATTTAGGCCACATCATATGGTAGATTTCTTGAACTAACCATGGATTCGGAAGGTCGAGATTCTACTGATCTTTTTATTTAGTGCGGGGGATTATTTCAAAATAGAGGATGATTCTAAATAAGTGGACCAAGTGTAAGAGTTGTGTGTGTGTGTGTGTGTGTGTATGTGTTTGTTTTGTGTGTGGTTGTGGTGAGAGAGAGAGAGAGAGAGAGTAAATGTACTAGTGTGTTTGTATGTGTATGTGTAATGTGTGAATGTTATTGTGTGCATGAGTGTCTATCTCAGTTGTACGGTCCAAATGTACATTATTTTGTTGAGAATTTTACATAGAACTCAACTACAAAACACCTTTATACAAAGTCACAGAAATATTCTTTTTGTGCTTATTGAGGTGCAGTACAGGGTGATTAAAACCTGCAAGGATAATTGGACAAAATGGGCAATATCTTACTAATGGTCATATTTAGACAAATCCTATATCATTCTCTTTTTTTCTTAACAGCTCATGGTTATTAAAGAGTCAGCAAACTAGATCAAGGTAGTAATTTCGGATTCCTAATATTATGGGCATTCTTTAAAAAATTTTAACTTGTTTTTAGCGCTTTTTTCAACGTAAAACGGATTCCGTTAAAAAAACAACAACAACAATGACCTTATCTTTCTTTTTTAAGGTATTGTGCATACATTTGTGTGAAACTATTTTATTCTATGCTTTCAAGTACATGAAAAAAGCTAATAAAATCAAGCAAAATGTTCTTCAGAGACATAGATCTAGTAGTAAGCCCCCTGGAACATTTTATAAACCGTGAAAAGATCACCAGAAAATAACAAAATTATCTTATGATTTTCACTTGCACTTGCAATTTTTTTGACAAATTATCGTCTACCTCGTTATCTTTTTTTTTTCACATTTTTCTTCACTATTCATGACAACTGGCATGTTTTCCAGTTATTATCAAGGAAGTGGATAGGCGGACCACGGGGTCTATCTAGCCCCAAAAGGATAGGTGGACCGCGGGGTCTACCTAACAAAATGCTGTTTTAGGATGTGAACCCTGGAATCAGCGTAGTGAAATAAGTAGATCTAGGTTTGACTAAGGATCGGTGGACCCCGGGGTCAACATAGTGAAATAAGTAGATCTCAGTTTATTTTATAGTAAGACTGGCGGAGCCCGTGGTCAACGTAGTGAAATTATAAGTAGATCTAGGTTTAAATTAATAAGGATTGGTGGACCCCTGGGTCAACGTAGTGAAATTATAAGTAGATCTAGGTGTAATTAAGGTTTGGTGGACCCTGGGGTCAACGTAGTGAAATAAGTACATGTAGATCTAGGTTTAATTTTAAGGATTGGTGGACCCAGGAGTCAACGTAGTGAAATAGGAAGGTTTAGGTTTAAGGTGGACCCCAGGGTCTACCTAACGAAATTTAATACTAGTTAGGTTTTAGAATAGGTGGACCATGCGGTCACCGTAGTAAAATAAGTAGGTTTAATCACGGTGTCCCGGGGGTCCACCAATTCTTAATTAAACCTTCTTATTCCTCTACGGCTATGGTGACTCCGGGGTCCACCAATCCTTTTAAAATTAAACCTACTTATTTCACTACGGTGACCCCGGGGTCTACTAATCTTTAAATAAATCTACTTACATGTATTTCACTACGGTGACCCCGGGGTCCACCTGTCCTAAAACCTAGTATTTTGCTAGGTAGACCCCGTTTTTAACAATATCCAGAAAATAACATAAAATGAGTATATAGATCTATATCTATACGTATTTTATTAAGTATATACTTAAAAATAAAAGACTGAGCAGAGGCTTACAATGTAAATTCTGTGCTCTACACGTAGAGAAAGTCTTAAGTTTGCGCAAAACAGATTTTAGAAAAAAAAGTTGATCTAATTATTCTAATAAAAGTAAAAGTGATTGTTATGGTGAGATTTGTTATTATTAATTCTGGAAATACAGATAGTTGTTGAATCTAAAATTAACTAGAACTGTGCAATTCGTTTTATTTCAATTCCAAAGCCCAAAGGCATAGCAATGAGTTAGATCTAGATCTAGCAGTTGTAGGCTCTCTGGCTGCTTCTAACATTTGTCTGCTACTACTGATTCTAGACAGGGAATCTAGATCTAGATCTAGCTATCACCTGCACTATTAAAGTCAAATATATGGTAAAATAAAAACAAAACTGTGAATCGCTTTGTCAGTCAGTACATCCCAATTGCCATAGCAGCACGTATTAATAGTTGAATAATTATACCGAAGCAACATGTTATCACAGTGTGCAGGGGAGAGCGGGGTGCCCGGGTCGCTGACCGGTCGATTCGGTGGTTCGGCTTTTGTAGATCTATGCATTTTTTACGGAAAACCCTATTACTAGATCTATTAGTGTTGTGAAAACTTCAACCTCTACAGCTAAGGCGGCAAAAGATGTTGGAAAATAATAATACGTCCTGAAGTTTCATAATTTATACAGAATAATACAGCCAGTAGTTTTTATCTCATCGAGTTATAAAAATGGCCTTGTAACTTGTTTTCAGAAGCAAATTTTAATAGTTACAGTTCTACCGAATCGATTTTCACGCAAATTCAACCATTTTGATGACCATTTCTTTTCCTTTTAAAAAGATAAAGGCCTGTCGGATGTGGCAGTGCGATTAACACTAAGTTGTTTAGACCCATCAAAACACAAGGCTTCGTGGCCGATCACAAAGGTCTACGGGCTTATCGAGGCCGATTCGCCCTGCCGCGTGCACGTTCACTAAACTGCCTACTAGATAGAATCTACTACCAAAGATTCTTCTCGATCTTTGCTACTACTACTACTACTACTACATCTACATGTAGGCTACTACTACTAGACAGTACGAGAGATGTACTACTACGAGACAGTACGAGAGAGTGCCACCCAGGCAAAGATAGTGTAACTTTGACTCAGCCACGTTGTGTACACACTTTTTATACCCAAATTTGACCCGGAAGTCCATTCGGAGGATTTGACCTTTTTACTTGACCAAAGTGTGCCAAAATGGTAGCCTAGATTTTGCCCCTCCATGAAGGAAAAATCTGGCCCTCATTCAAACCATTGAGATTGAGCAAAACTTTGCGTATCGTGCTTTGTTCTTACAATATTCATTATGATATATATAAGTTGTACACTGAGACAAAACTGTACTAAATGAGAAAGGTGCACCATTATGAAAGTGGAACGAACTCAGTTGCCTTAAAAGGGTGTCCCCTGGTAGTTTGAGCATGTGTGGCCTAAATAAGCTAAACCCCCCTCCCTTACCTTATTTAGGCCACCTGTGGCCTAAATAAGCTAAACCCCCCTCCCTTACCTTATTTAGGCCATATGTGGCCCAAATAAGCACTCCCTTATAAGTTCTACTGCCCTTTAGTGTATTTTTTCATACATTGATTCCGAATCGAAATTGACGTTCTTTTAAGAATGCACAATCCCACTTACAAAGCCCTTAAAACTTGACTTTAAGGAAATGACGTCATGAAATTTTTAAAAAATACAAAAGAAAATTATTCAAGACATAAAAAGTCAGGACACTAACAATGTGGGACTAGGAATTTCAACCTTCCACTAATTTCCAGCCCCAGCCCCAGCCATTTTTGTGCACTCCCTAACCCCAGTCCCAGCCAGTACAGCAGTGTTTCAGAAAAAGAGGCATGCAACTGAGAATATAAAGCTCTTGGGGGGAGGTACAAGCACTGCTGAAAATATATGCGCATGGGGCTGGAAGGGTCAATTTAGTGTAAGTGTAAGGGAGAAGTTAAATTCATGCATATACAGAAATTCAGGGAAATCAGGAGAATAACATTTTAAAAAGAAAAAAGCACAATCGTATTTATCTATCACTTACTGTCACAAAAGTCATCTGTCGCAAAAAGCAATCCAAGGGTAACATATTTCTCTGGAGTATAACTCTATAACACACAACGACAATACCAAAACAACATGACGAACAATACACACATACTCTTCTCGTCTCCGACGCAATTCATGATCTGACAAGACGCTGTTCTCCAGCTCAATTGTGGACATGAGGTCTGAAAATTCTTGCTCTAGCTTGGTTTTTTCCGCAGTAATCACAGGACATCTCTCCACACACACAGCAGTGTACAAAACGTTGTTCTTCAGCACTTGCTGAGAGGTTGAAATATGCCTTTTGAAAGACAGGTCAGACACTGAAAAAAAGAACAGTTGTAAAGATAGCAAATTACACTTGGGAGCATTTGATACTTTCACAAAACAAGACCAATGAACTGCCCGCATACAGTCAAACCTGTCTAAGACGGCCACCCATTGTCAAGGAGAAAAGTGGTTGTATAAGACAGGTGGCCATCTTAGGCAGGACTGATCAAGATGAAGAAAACAAACCATTCCTTTCTGAGGTCTCAACCAAAGGTAGCCGCATTGTTGTTTTTGTTATTGTTGTTGTCGTTGTTTTTCCGGTTTTCCGGTGGGGGGGGGGGGGGGGGGGGGGTGATCTTGATTTTTTTCATTTGTTGCTGCTTTTGGCAAGGGTGACAATAAAACGAAATTTTTCAAACAAGGAGGACCGACTGCTGAGGTAAAACAAACACATTGGTCACCACCACTTGGAGAACGAGTGACTCTTCTGTCATAAGTTCATGTTAACGTCCATTGTTATTTTGTTAAAGACTGGGTAAACAGTGACCACTCATCTCAATTACGATTTGTGTATGAGTTCTGGGCGGGGCTTATGGGTTATGAGGGATCACACGTTTACCTCACCAGCAGCTGAAAATTGGTAGCTATTGGTCAATAGTGAGAGGGGCCTACGCAACATGATTGGTTGGAGGGACTACCTAACAACAACGATAGGTGATCGGATTATGACGGCTCGTCCACAACACCAGGGACCATTGCATGATTTAGGACAAAATGTAATGGAGTCACTTAGGTGGCCGTCTAAGACAGGTGTTATTGCTTGGTGTGAGAGGGGTTACGTGTAAAAATAGGGTGGCCGTGGCCGCGTTGGACAGGTTCCCATTTTACACAGTTAAATTATATAGAAAAAACGCAAGGGGGGAAATGGAAAGTGGCCATTTGTACAGGTAGCCGCCTTATAGAGGTGGCCGTCGGGGCAGGTTCAACTGTATTTTGAAAGTACAGTCAAACCTCGTTATAATACCATCTACCTTGGGACAAGCATGAAGTTGGCGGTACAGCGGGGTTGGCGGTACAACGAGTATTTCACACCCCTTGTTAAACACGTGTAGCACCGACTGCCCAACGTCAAGGGGACTCATTTATCAATCACTAGATGAATTAATGAGTTTCCTAACTTCAATATCTGTCACTTAGACTTGAGCATAGGTCCTCACTAAATAAAATCCCAACGGGCATTCGCCTGCCTGTAAGTTATTGAGCTGATATCTGGTGACGCCAGATATTTTGCTGGGGGCGGGGGGGGGGGGGGGGGGGGGGGAGCAAGACGATGGCGAGGTTCCTTTAAAGTAAAGTTTTTCCATGCGACTAAAAAATTTAATTATTTTCTTCATATTGAGAAAGGTCTAAAAATAATCGCATTTTCATAATTAGCGCACCAGATTTAGTCGCATTCACGCTGGGAGTGAAATTTGAAGCTGAAATACAAAGTCTTGTTTTGTTTTAATTGTACTCTTCCACATTTCACATTGTATTGTGTTCACTTGCGACACACTACAAGATCTATTCATATTGCTTGAAATCTGCAAGACAAGGAAAGTCCAGACGTATGTAAAAGATTGTCAAGCAACCCCCAAATACGGAAGTGCCGTGCACCATGAGTAGCCTCTAGTGTGCACTGAGTACTATGGGAGGCCAGTTCGCTGGCGGTACAACGGGGTAAATTTACTGTAGTTTAATAAGGACTGTACAAGTACAACTGAGACGGATGGCGGTATAAAGGCGCAAATACTGTGTTTATATAGGGACTCTTTTCATACATCGTCGTATACAAACATCCATACATCTCAGAGACTAATAATTTGCGGTGGATAAAAAAGGCAGAACATGCAAAGTTGATCAATAATAAAAATAAACAAGAAAAGAAGTTGTGAATTATAAATAGATCTAGGCCTATGCAGAGACAGGTCCACGAGTAAATGAAGCCTAACACCTAAGGAGAAATGGTGTCTTACTGAAAAGTAAATTGACGATAGACATCTCAAGATCAGTCATAAAAAATAAACAGTCAGAAAACCAACAAATTTTAAGGGTTTTCTAGTTTATTTGAAGCAAACACAGTTTGAAAATATGTTATATATTTCAATAAAACATACACATGTATAGCATTGAAACATCTCACCACCCCAGTTGAGATAAAATTGTGAAACCTGTCTATAGGCCTCATTGATTTACGACAGATTTGGCGACCATATTTAGTCGCTTTTAAGCACAAGGGGGTTATCCCGAAAAATGCTGTTTTGAGAAAATCGAAGATAAAGTTTTTGCCCTTTGTTCAGTTTCTTTAAAAGACAAGGAGAGTTTTCTCTATAACCAAACAAATATGCACGCCAATGAAACCAAACTTTTCCTATAGGCAGGGCAATGCCCACTTTTGGTGTAGGTCAAAATTTCTGGAAACCCCGGAAATCTGGGTTAGCCCGCTTGTCCTTAAAAGCGATCATTTGTGATCTGCAGCAAAAAATGCAGCCTATCTGTGAGCGGGAGTCAAAGCGAACATCAATGATACAAGCAGTTAAAAAGTTAAAGGTACATAAATTAGATGGCACGATGGAGCCATCAGAGTGGGATGAGAATCCATCATGGCGGGAATCTATCTAACGTTAGACTTCTAGATCTAGTCTCTAGACCTAGATTCTAGATCTAGACTAGACCTAAAGCGTGTCACGTATACATATTCTTGTTCAAAAAAATTTTAATCACGTGCCAGTGTATCAGATACTTTTTTTCAGTGACTACAGTAGTCTCTGCCTAAACGCACAGTGCTCGGGAGGGCTCTGTAGCGCGTGTTTATATGGAGCGTGCGTTTATATGAACCTGTGCAAAGGGAGGAAGGGACGCAGTCATCTCATTGGCTTGATATTCTAGCTATCTCCCTAAGAGGGCGGAGGCCACTGGTCGATAATGTCACGACACGTGACTGTTTTGTGAAGGATTCCCCAACTGTGGTAACTGTTGGTGATAGTCATAGATACGACGGCCCAGTCACGTGGCTTTCCAAGCGACCACCCCCGACCCTAAATTCTTGGACGACATTCAGTATTCAGAATCATAACACTCTACTTTCAGAGAAACATTTCTCTTGTGATTTATTAAACAAGTACGTCATAATAGTTCTTCGAGCACAGCTGATTAGGCTTATCTGACTAATCTATAATCCTATAGAGGCCTGTCTTGTGCTTTACGGCATTCACGCGAATTGTGCATCATAGGCCTAGGTCTAACTAATCCTTACATGCAGTCACTCAAACACCAGTCAGAAACGTTCTTTCTTTCAAAGAAGCATTTCAAGTGACCAATCTAAAAACATTTCAGTCCCCTAATCCCCCAACCTTTCACTTTCACCGACCAGTCCTGGACCTCTATGTACTATCTGTGGAAAGTTGGGTGTTTAAAACGCTGTCCATCACTCTCTCTGCGTGAGGACAGTCTCACCAATCTGATTTTCTATGCTTGTCTTATCTCACTTCAGACGGTTCACACAACAGTTGCGTGACCCCCGCCGCAACGGTTCCCACAAGCCCTGCATGATCAACTTTGAAATTTATATTTCGCTCTACAAATCACACACGGATCGCGTGACCCGCCTCGTACCCTTGTTTGCCCAGGCCTGAGCTACTTAGACTTCGTTTCGTATCTCTGGGGCCGGTAGTTTTTAAGTTATTGAAGGTGAAGGACAGTCCCCCTAACTGGGGTTGAACTGACCGGAACTCTCGCTATGTTTTTTCCTATACAGCTGATAATAATCCGACAGTCGCGTCGTAGTAAAGGTCGAAGAAGTCGCATGAACAAGAATCACATAACTTCGCAGTTTTCGACACTTCTGTACATTTTACTAGTTCTAGTGTCTCAGAACAGGATGTGTCTGATAGTTTTAGGATCCTGGATATGTACCTGAATTGTAGTTTTAGGGCTAGATCTAGCACTAGTACTGGTGTTGTTGTTCCCGCAGCGAAATCACAACGTCGTGCCGTACATCTGTCTCATGTAATTTAGTGTGTATGGGTTTGAATCAACGCATAGACCAGCTTTTATATGTTCACCAAACATTCACACATGCATACAAATCAAAACAGAACACTTAGAACTTTTATTTTTGTTGTTGTTGTGAATTTCATTCTACCTGTCACGTCTCTGGAAATTTTTCGGAAAAACAAATTTATTTTTTAAGCCCATTTTTTTAAAATCATACAAATTAAAGTATTAGACTTACACAACTTAAGGTTTTTGTATTAGATTAAGTTTGAAAGTCACTTTACTGTAAGTGTGTCAAAAAATAATTACAATCTGGGTAATTCTGAGAGTTGTGGAGGTTTATAATTTACGCGTATAATTTATTGAAATACTCCCAAAAACGCCGGTCTTCAACGCTTGTGACGGGTGAAAGGGCCCAGTAGTAAGTGAGTTATGAAAGCTGTGCAGGTTGCAGTTGTAGTGAATATTTCCCTTTGGCAAGCTTTACCTGTCGGCGTGTTTTGGGGATTAAGCGTGTGTTTTTAGAATTAGAGGGAGTGACCGTGCGTTTGTACCTTTCTCAATCTTATAGTCAAAATCCCGCCAGATTACTCACCTGCTCGGGAGGAACTGTGCCATCTAGCCAAGAAGGAGACCGCTTTGCTGAAATTTCTGCAGGTTGAGGCGGACATTGTTTCTGTAATTCAACAATCCTGTCAAAGGGGGCAACAATGATTACGTTCAATGAATGGCCAATGCCAGAGCCAGTGCCAGTGAAAAAGACTGCAATCCGTAAATGAAACGGAATCTACAGAAAACTATAGGTACGGCAGTGCAGGAGGAAGGCCAATTTTCACTGAGTTTTTCGTGTTTTGAACTTCAGCTAGTAATTCGTGAGTCCTTTTTTTTTACGAGTTTCCTAAGAACAAGAACGTTAAATTAGATCCTTGCCTTCTTGCCTTCGTTCGTTTCGTTTGTTATTGGGGCAGAGTTCTTACCCTTGAAACGGGTACATGTAAAAAAATGATTCATCATGTATCCACGACACAACAATACTTCATTTTATTAATTTAATTATTTTATTTCCCTATAAAACGTAAAAAACTGCATTTACTTGTTTGAAAATTATTTTTATAACAATTTGGTCAACATTTGAGAACAAGTTAATTTTTTTTCTAATAGTAGTTTCTTTGTTTTGAGAAATGTTCCAGGTTGGCTTTTTTATGGTAGAATTATGGGATGTAAATTTTCTTGTACCAAAACTTGGGCAGAACGTTTCCCTCCGAAAAGGTAAATACGCAGAATTTTATTGTCCAAAAATTGTGAGATGCATGCTGCATCTTTACTCTTAGTTTAGACTTGGTCTTAAAATGGGCCTAGATCTAGAGATCTAGATTCTAGATCTAGATCTATATGTTGCATTTCTTCAGAACTGTTTTACTCTAGAGTAATCAATAAGTCTAGACTGACTCCAGACTTTCCATTTATTGACTTGACTTGAGTGTCTTCTGTCTTGCCTTCTTCTTAGTGAACTTAGATCTATAGCCTATGTACGGCATACCGTCACGTACGTCATACTGTCAGTTGGCACGCATTTGGCCTAAAATTGGACAACCAGACAATTATGCGATAATCTGGAATGCTGTCTGCTAAACAATTCCGTTCAACATTGTTTTGTTTTCAAGTTCAACAATTTTGAGCAGAATCAGACACCTGTGTGAGCAGAAATGATCCATTTCATCTCCAAATGTAAGAACCGCGTTCAGCCATTACGGCTTGCAGATGCGCAATACATTTTTGGAAATAAGCTATTGGTTCTACAATCGTACCCGCAGGATTCGTTTCGCATTTTTATTCAGTTTATAAGGTGTCTAGTTACCGCCGCAAACCATTCGCTGCTCTTTGTTGTAACAATTGGCGCCCGTAGGGGGGGTGACCATATGGGGTACAATTTTTTTATGGATGTACCCCATACCGTCACCGTATTTTTTACATGGTGCGTGACTTGAAAAAGTTATTTCTTGGGGAGTGCTTATTTAGGCCACATATGGCCTAAATAAGGTAAGGGAGGGGGAGTTTAGCTTATTTAGGCCACAGGTGGCCTAAATAAGGTAAGGGAAGTTTTTTTTGCTTATTTAGGCCTAAATAAGGTCACCCTATTTCTTGACGGACTATGGATGGCATCTTAGTACTTTAGATTTTTTAGTTTCTATGATTTGATATAGATCTAGATCTAGATCTAGATAGATCTATTTAGACACGGATTCATTAGAAAATGAGCGACTTTAGATTGTTCTTTTTTAATGTTTGAAACAAATTTATATGAAGGAAACTCTATCCCGTTGTATGTAATGATGATGATGATGTTCCTCTGTCCAATGTATACACATGTTGTGATGATGTTCTTCCAGCCACTGTTTCCACATGTTGTGATATTGTTCCTGCTCCTACTGCTTCTGTTTCAGAAGAAAAACTTGCTGGCCCTCCCCCAACTGCCCTTGTCTCTAGTTGTGAGTGGTCAGTTGATGCCCTAGACTTTTCGACCACAGGTCTGGAATTCTCGGGGATCGAATGTACCTCCGAGGACTTCCTGGATCCTGCAGCAGAGTTTCAGCTACCTTTGGTTTCGACCCCAGCTCGGGATCCTGTGGATAACCAGGACTATGTCTATTGTCTACCCGAGCAGGCATTGAGACCATTGGAAGATGAAACTCTGGTGACACCCCAAGCCCCCCAAAAACTGCCTCAGGACAACACTTTTGCTTTGTCCTTGACAGTCTAATTGATCACGCCATTGCCACTGGATGGATGGCATCAGACATGCATTGGGTCCGCCGTTGCCATTGGCACAAAATCGAACCTAAGGAGAACGAGGGGGCATACAGAAAGTACCTTGATTTGTAAAATCAACTCATTCCTGCCCCCTCGTTCATCAACCTGCCCATACCAGCAAGCTGGAACTATCTAAGGTTTCAACACAGAGAAGCGGGCTAAGGCCCCTACATACATGTCTTACGGGCAAAGTACAAAGCATGGGAGGAGGCGAAGAAATTGGAAGAAGAAAAGAAAAAGGAAGAAGTGGAAAAGAGGAAGAGAGAAAGGGAGAGAAAAGGGTGGAGAAGGAAGAAGAGAAAAGAGGAGAAAAAGTAACGAAGTTGGAGAAGCAGAGAACAGGGAAGAAGAAGAAGAAACAACAAGGAAATTCATGTATGTGTGCGAGTAAGATGTTCATGATGTGAGTTTGTTGTGATACATGTGGAAGAGTAAAATGAAGCATTCAAGTACTTGTGTGTGAGTAAAAGATGTTAATAATAATAATAATAATAATAAATGACATTTATATATAGCGCTCAACCCCTAATAAAGTACACAGGCTCTGAGTGCTTTACAATACAGTACAACATACAACAGTAACATGAAACGTTGTGTTCTGACTAAAGAAAATTATTCCAAATATTCATCTTATTAATTTAAAAACAGAAACGACTTCAGCTGACCTTTGAATGAATCAAAAGATTTGATTTCTCTCAACGTACTTGGTAAAGCATTCCAGATCTTGGGGCCTTGGTATTCAAATGCCCTTTCACCCATTGTTTTAAGTTTCATAGATGGTAAAATAAATTTCTTTTTGTCAGCTGATGACCTTAAACTGCGAGTTGGAATGTACAGTCTTAACAGATTTGATAAATATGATGGTGCATTATCATTCAAACATTTGTGACATATGGTGGCCAACTTGTACACAATCCTTTTCTCAACAGGAAGCCAATGCCAAGTTCGTAAAAGAGGTTTAGCAGAGTCTCGCTTTCTTTTCCGTAAAACTAAACGTGCTGCATTGTTTTGGACAGTTTGAAGTTTTTTAACTTTCTCCAGTGATATTCCTGATAACAAGGAGTTACAATAAATCGAGTTAAGATAAAATTAAGCTAGTTACTAGTAAAGCAGTATACTTGGTATTGATCAGATGACGTATTTTATTAATTTTTCTTATTTCTAAATACATGCAGCTGATCAGATGATTTACCTCAGCCGACATTGACAAATAAGAATCAAAATAGATGCCAAGATTCTTAACTTTTCTTGAAAATAAAATTTTTGCATCACCAATTTTAATGTGATCATGGTCAACCTCTTTAACAGACTTTGCATTGCCTGCCAGAATGACTTCTGTTTTATCATCATTTAACATCAATTTATTTTTGTTCATCCGGTTTTTCACTAAGGCAATACAATTTTCAGCACGATGGATAAGTTCATCTAAGTTGGTAAACAATGTTGAACCATAAATTTGGGTATCATCAGCATAGAAATGGTATTTTAAGTCATATTTTAACTATTTCCTTGACAAGTGGTGGAGTATAAATGGTGAACAAAATTGGACCGAGGACTGAGCCCTGGGGGACCCCATACTTAAGAGCATGATCTGATGACTTAAGCCCTTTAATAAAAACAGATTGGTAACGATTTGACAGGTAAGAAGAAAACCAGCTAAGGGCAGTCCCGGATATTCCAAAAGACACTTCTAATCGCTTCAATAAAATGTGATGGTCAATATGTATCAAAAGCTGCTGATAGATCTAAAAGGCTCAGCAAAACAACTTTTCCTGAATCACAATCAGTAAGCATGTCATTCATGACTTTAAGAAGTGCTGTTTCTGTGCTGTGGTTAGCTCGATAGGCAGACTGGAATGGCTCTAACAGATTGTTTTCTTGTAAGTGATGACGAAGCTGCTCGGGGACAACCTTTTCAAGGATTTTAGACAAAAAAAGGTAGATTTGAAACAGGTCTATAGTTCTTTAAGACATTCTGATCTAAGTTTTGCTTCTTTAGCAACGGTTTTACAAGAGCGATTTTAAACGAATCTGGTTCAAGTGAGTTTGTTGTGATATATGTGGGGAAGAGTAAAATGAAGCATTCATGTACCTTTGTGTGAGGAAGATGTTCATATGAGTTTGTGATATGTGTGTAAGAGTAAAATGAAGCATTCAAGAGCTTGTGTGTGAGTAAAAGATGTTCAAGTGAGTTTGTTGTGATATGTGAGGAAGAGTAAAATGAAGCCTTCATGTACCTGTGTGTGAGGGAGATGTTCATATGAGTTTGTGATATGTCTGGAAGAGTAAAATGAAACATTCATGTACCTAGATCTATGTGTGAGTAAGATGTATGTGTGTCTGTTTTGGTGGTTATTCTTTTTAGTATGTCAATAAACATTAGTTGTCTTAGTACTCTTAGGCCCACTGTACAAAAGGAGTACGTCTTTCCTTCTTTCCTTTTTTCAAACGCCTAGTTGTGCTTCAATTTGGGTGTGATGGTATGGGGTGTAGTGGGTGACGGTATGGGGTACATACCATGACAGAAAACCCGACACGTGACGATATGGGGTACATGTCAGGACATGTGTCAAGTCTCGGTTAGGGGTCTTCTTTATACACTATCTGACTAAAATCTTCACCTCACACCTACAGGAAAGGCTGGCCTCTCAACAAAACTAAATTTTGGGTCAATGTTTTTGAAAGAGCCGAAGTTATGGTAATACAAAAGTTCACTTCCGGAAATAGTCATCACAAAACACTAAGGTGACGGTATGCCGTACATAGGCTCTAGATCTAGATATAGATTCTAGTCTGTTTTCTCCTACACACACACTTACACACAGTTCCTAGATTCTACCTCTACCCTCCCCCCAGTCAGGTGTGGATTGTTTTTAATATTGTTTTATAGCCTAGTCTAATTGTGTTGTTGGGAGGACTTCCGTAACGAGGGACCACTATGAGACAGTAGTAGAACCCTGACCCCAACCCTACTAACAAACGCAAATTGGAATTAAACGCGGGAATCTTAACAATCACCCTGAGGGGTAGCCTGGGCCTGAGGGGTTGGTTGGGGGGGTAGGGACAGTAACAGGGTCAGGCCTGAGGGTTACATCTCTTCTTTATTGTGTTTGTTTGCTTCCTTTTGTCAAGCTGTCATCTCTCTAATTCTGAATTTAGATCTAGATCTAGATTCTAGTGACATTTTCATTTTGTTACCTTACCAGTACCACAACCATGCCACAGCAAAATGTAATGTTTATTAGGCTACCCACAGACTTAATCAAGGAGTTATCTCTTAGACTTCTACAGTTGGGAAGTGGTCCCGGCATAACTCCATAGAAATTTTCATTATTCTCATTTTATGTACACAATCGGAAACAAAAACGGAAGTTGCCAAAAAAGGGGGGGGCCCCCCCCCCCCCCCCCCCCCCCCCCCCCCCGGCGCAAGCGAAGAGGGATTTACCCCCTGCTATGTAGGCCTATGTGAGGCGTGCGGACCCGGACAGAATGAGCGAGTTACTTCTCGCTATCCACAAATAGAGATTTCGACGGAAATTGACCCAGGGTCAAATTTGCTGAATTTTTATTAAATGCCATATTTCTTTAATTTCTTATATGCCTTTTATTATTTCATGAATCATACTAATGAAGTGTACAAACTTCTCTTGTAACGCGTGATTTTTTTTCCCATAAGGCTTGAATCCGAGAAGCAACTAATTTTATCAGCACGCTTCACATTATATTCACAAAAATAATGGTTTGTGACATTTTTTTAAGGCCAATGTTGTTCTCAGCACACTAAAAAACATTGAAATAGTGCCGAAAAATAGTTTAAAATGGGTTTGTACCTTTTCTATATATTTACCAGTTGCCCTATTTACTTGACTTCCTCTTTTTGTTTCCGTTTTGTGTCTATAAATTTCTATGGAGTTCAGCCGGGACTTCTCTCAAAGAGTGCCCAGTTGACGCACACCTGAGCCTGACCACTTTATATATCTTATTTAATGGGTTGATGATAAAGTTTTTAATATCTATGTTTGCTATGGATTTGTGAATTTTCAAATTCAAATACTATTATTAGCTATTGGAGTTACCAAACTTTCGCAGCCATTTTCTCTCTAATTTCAAAACTGAAACCAGGCGACCTCTCCTCCTTCAATCGCAGTGACCTTGACTTCTATTCAAGATAGTTGGATATACATTAATTTTTTTCATTGGAAGCAAGGCAAATGAATCGGCTTTCAAATGATACGAATAACTCGAAAGGCCCAATACTTGACAAATGCCTGATTCCATCGCATGGTGGCACTTTATGACTTTATGTTGGAGTCATAACATCACTTTGTTCTCTTTATTCCCTGTATTTTCCAACACTGAGACAGAATAAAGATTTTGTGGATCCCTCAAGTGCCAATATGAATATCTTTCTTCATACAAGATTTTACCCAATTAATTATTATTTATTGTAAACAGATTAAAATCCAAAGAGGTTACCTTTTATTATGGCGGAACTGTGAGGGCTGAGAGTTTTGCCAGTTGAGATCTCTGTCAGGATGGCACAGCCCGATGTGGGTCCCAACGACATCGTCATCCACCTTGTCAATCCGTACAAGTGTGCCTCATGCGGAACGGAATTTTTCTTGCGCTCCATGCTGCTGGTAAGATGGTTCATTGATTTCCTTACTTTATCACAGCACAGGGATATTATACATGATGTGATTTTTCTTATTTTGTCTGTCAGGATAAAAATATTGCTGAGGGTTTGCATCATTTTAGCATAATTGACTCTTTATTTCCGGAGGGGGGGGGGGGGGGTAAACCCACTATGCCAGGGCTGTTTTTTGGTACTAAATCTAAAAATGACAAAAACGTTTCTAAATTTGTCATTTTAAGATCAAAACAAGTGAACCTGTTTTGATAGGTCTTCATCTAATGAATGAAATCCTGATAAAAGAGACCTGATTTCAGCAACTGCAATTGCCAAACCCCCACGGGACGGTGCCACTGACTGAAGTATCTTTAGGCTATTTCCAAAGGGGGGTCATTTCTCATTCTTATGCACAGTAGAATTGTAAATGGGCTGATCCAACAATGTCATGCTCATAACTGTGCCGAAACTACAACAGGGAACTGATGCTTTTTCTTTCTGACCGCAGCCGTTAGGAGCAGCCTGACGGAGTTAAAGAGTTGATTAAAATATTTCCATTGTCAGTCAAGTTGCTGAAAATCAAAACTAATTACCGCCTGTCAAGGCCAGTTTCCAGTACTAGTCTATTTATCTGATAAAACTTAAATGATAGGATTTTTTTCTGTAACATTGTCAGGATAAAAAAGGGAAAAGTAGAGAAAGGTCTCTTAATTCTTTTGATAAACTTGGAAATTTTTTTTTGGGGGGGGGGGGGGGTTTAATGCTTTATATGATCAAACAGGAAAAACATAGCGACTTGGACATTGGCATTATAATACTATAATGCAAAGTTATGATATGATTTTGTTCCGAGAACATTGTATTGTTTGAATTCACAGAAAAGACTACCGTTTGCTTTTCCGGTATTTAATGTACAAGACACCTTGGGAGATCACATTTAGAAAAAAATTACAAAAGAAGTAAAATCCATTATTATTTTTAGAATATTTTGCTCACTTGATGGCACAACAATGGCTGATGGAAATGCGCACCGGGTAATGAAAAAAAAATGTTTTTTACTGTCTTGTGCAATAGTTTTCCTGCCATTCAATAACACTGCAAGTGAGGTCAGGTGTGTAAAGCACAATTGGTTAAATTTAGTATACGTTGTGATATCAGCTTTATGTCTTAATTTATTATTCCGGGGTTTTTTTCCAGGAGCATCTGGGAGAGCATATTGAAAAGCAGAAGGCTCAGAATCCCTGTAGCCAGGTTGTCTGTGGTGTCAGTCTGGCAGAACACACGGACAATGGCATCACCGTCACACGAGACATCTTACAGATCAACGAACATCAGGTGAGCCAAAAGTTGTGAACCAGGATGTGTGACAGTTGTCATTGAGGTGTGATTCGGGCCGAGATGTGTGATAGTTGTCATTGAGGTGTGATTCGGACCGAGATGTGTGGTAGTTGTCATTGAGGTGTGATTCGGACCGAGATGTGTGGTAGTTGTCATTGAGGTGTGATTCGGGCCGAGATGTGTGGTAGTTGTCATTGAGGTGTGATTCGGACCGAGATGTTTGGTAGTTGTCATTGAGGTGTGATTCGGGCCGAGATGTGTGGTAGTTGTCATTGAAGTGTGATCCGGGCCGAGATGTGTGGTAGTTGTCATTGAGGTGTGATTCGGACCGAGATGTGTGACAGTTGTCATTGAGGTGTGATCCGGGCCGAGATGTGTGGTAGTTGTCATTGAGGTGTGATCCGGGCCGAGATGTGTGGTAGTTGTCATTGAGGTGTGACCTGGACCGGACCGGGGTGTGTGCTAGTTGTCATTGAGGTGTGACCCGGACCGGTGTGTGTGCCAGTTGTCATTTAGGTTAGACCCGGACAGGGGTGTGTGCTAGTTGTCATTGAGGTGTGACCCAGACCGGGGTGTGTGCTAGTTGTCATTGAGGTTAGACCTGGACCGGACGTGGTGTGTGCTAGTTGTCACTGAGGTGTGATCCAGAGAGAAAAGAGTTTACGCTATTGCTTGACTGCCGACAGGACAGTCGTTTTAGCTCTTTGCTGCTTATACACTTACAGTGGGTCCCAATAACTCTCATGTTATAACAGATTTTGGCTATAACAGGCTTATAATAAATCCTTGTTTCCGGTCTCTTAAAATGTATAGTGGAAAAGTTCTTTTAGAGTATAGCAAGATTTTGGACAGACATGCTCGGCTGTAACAGTGTTCCAACCATACACTAAATTCTATTTAAAGTAAATGGCAAGACAAAAAAAAAAGCAATTGATGAAGGGGGGGGAAAAAACGCCTGACATGGTAAATTGCACGTGCATGACCCACAATAGTTCTTAGATTAGAAACTGATTGCTTACATATATATTTATGTTTTGGTATGCTTCCCGGGAAGCTGTGAATGTTTCGGAATGTTCTAATTATATGATCTGCTGGGGTAATAATATAGATCTAGTGTAAAGCGCATATATATATATATATATATATATATATATATATATATATATAGAGAGAGAGAGAGAGAGAGAGAGAGAGAGAGAGAGAGAGAGAGAGAGAGAGCTTACTATCGTGCAGGGATGTGCGTTATACAAATCATCACCCGTCATTGCCTTTCTCCCCCTGTACCAGGGTATAGGCCACGAACAAACACTTCCTCACCCTGTACCAGGGTATAGGCCACGAACAAACACTTTCTCACCCTGTACCAGGGTATAGGCCACGAACAAACACTTTCTCACCCTGTACCAGGGTATAGGCCACGAACAAACACTTTCTCACCCTGTACCAGGGTATAGGCCACGGACAAACACTTTCTCACCCTGCACCAGGGTATAGGCCACGAACAAACACTTTCCACCTTTCTCTGTCCTGGGCTAGCCTGTTGATGATATTCCATGTTTTCCCACTTTTCTGTACATCAATTTCTGTGATTCTTCTCCAGGTTCCATGCGGTCTTCCCATTGATCTTTTACCCTCTGGATAACAATCCAACACTTTCTTTGTTATGCACCCGCCTGACTTCCTGAGAGTACGTCCAATCTATCGCCACCGCCTTCTTCCCAAATCATTTCTGACTGAGACCTCTCTTGCTTTCCTTAACACTTCCTCTTTGGTGACCCTGTCTGTCCATCTGATCCTCAGTAACTTTCTTAGACATATGTTCAAGAAAACCTGGATCCTCTTTATGCAAGTCTGAAACGTTCCATGTGTCACATCCATACAACTGGACTGACTTCACATTTGAATTGAAAATCCTCAGTTTTGTTCGGAGTGAGATATCCCTGGTTTTGGTTTTCCAAATCCTATTCAAAGATATGAAAGCTGCCTGTGTTTATCCAATTCAGGGCTCTATTTCAGCACCTGTACCTTCCTCTCTGTCAATTGTACTTACAAGATTAACAGAAGGATTCAACATCTTCTAGTGCATTTCCTTCTATTGTGACCTGCTCCTTTCGTTGTGCTTCTGTCCTTAGGACCTTTGACTTTCCTGGGTGGATCCTCAATCCAACAGACTCTGAAATGCTGTTTAATACTGAAGTCTTTGCTTGCATCTGTTCCTGGGTGTGCGACAAAAGGGCTATTACTACATTTTTGTTTTTTCTCTCCCAGATGTTTGAGCTTCAGGACCCCACCCTGGACTACTCCCAACTGGCTCCGTTGAAAGCCTTGGAGCAAGCCGGCATCCTCAGCCTCCCCCCCAAGCCTCAAGTTCTGGACAGACCCCAGGGCAAAAAAGACAGCTCGGCATTGTCTCAGCCGTTCGTGACTGATGGCATTGGCGGCGTCTCCAGAAACAAAATTTCGCTGCTGAAGCAGTCGCCCCTGTCTCTGCTACCACGGGAGCCGACAGCTCATGTTCAGATGGAAGTCCTTGACCCTTCCATCATCACGGGGCATGTCGAGGATCAGATTACTGCCCCTACGGACATAATCAGCATCAAGCCGACCTCGGTGGAGCCGAATATTGCCGATTTGGATTCCATTGTGCAGCAGACCCTGTTTTGTGATGGAAGAATCAAGGGAGAGTACAGCGTCATGATAGAGGCGCCTCCAGCGTTATCTGGGCAGCTTCAAGCTGAAGGAGACATTCCCCAGATTTTTGTCTCAGATGGGCAAGAGAATTTTGCGAGTCCCCTGGAGGGAGGAGACGAACTGTCGGGGCTGGAGGAGAAGTCTATTTTAGGGAAGAAGAAGAAGAGGCCGGTGTGCCCTGTGTGCCACAACGAGTTCTCGAACCAAAATGCGCTGGAGCGGCACCAGGTGGTTCACACAGGGGAGAAGCCTCACCGCTGCCTGGTGTGCTTCAAGCAGTTCAATGACGTGAGCTCCCTGCGCAAGCACAGCCTCATCCACAAACGCCAGCACCGCTGCCCCATCTGCCACCGGCTGTATCTGCGGAAAGTGCAGCTGGTCATGCACATGAAGCACCACGGCAAGAAGCGCTTCATCCAGTTCGGCAACACGTTCCACGAGGTGAAGGTCAAGAGTTCGCGCAACGAGCACGGCCAGATGGTGCAGGAGTTTAGTTTGTCCATGCTGCTCGGAGAAGACGAGAAGAGGGAGGTGGAGCAGAGTGGAACAGAAGCTGTCGCCGGTGGGAAGGAGGCGGTTGATGGTGTGAAGCAGGAGTCAGAGGGTAAAGAAAATGATGGACAAGTAGATGAAAAAGCTGAAAATGTTACCGAGGAGGGAACAATGCTTGAAGCCGCAGAGAAAGGAACGGTTGGCTCTGTGGCTGGAGATGTGGTTGGAGAAGGGTCCGACTTTGTGGTTGCTCCCAGCGGAAAGGATCAGCAGGGGCCGGAGGAGTTGCACATGAAGAAAAAGTCGGTTATTTACAAATGTGGTCACTGCAAGAAGATGATTTTCACTCGGCCAACGTTGTCCAGGCATTTGATTCGGCACACAAACAAGCGTCCGTTTGTCTGCGAGCGCTGCTCCAAGTCGTTCCGCGACAAGGCTGACCTGGTGCACCACTACAAGACGCACACCAAGCCTGTGAAGTGCCCCACGTGCACCGCCGCTTTCTCCAAACCTCTGTATCTGGAGAAACACTTGCAGAAAGGCTGCCCCGTCATGGATCACGACAGTCGCTTCACAGTGCTGGAAGACCTCCGATGCCAGTGTAATTTGTGTGGGAAAATTCTCAAAAGCAAGACCAATGTGATCAGGCATCTACGAGTGCACGCATTTGACGATCGTGTCAAGGCAGGTGGGCTGAAAACCGAGGGAGACCTGACTCCGACGATTCCTTCTTCGGAAACAGCCGAGCCTCCTTCGTTGCTGGAGAATTCTGCAGGGTTGTCAGAAAATGTTGAAGACCATTACAGACCGCTGGAAAACTCAGTCGGGTTCAGCTGTCTTATCTGTGGGTTAGAATTCCGCTTCCGGAGTTTCATGAAAACCCACATTCTGATGCACTTAAACGTGCGGCCGTTCAAGTGTCCGCAGTGCAGTAAAAGTTTTTATGCCAGACACATGCTGAAGAAGCACCTGCAGAACCACACGAGGCCTTACACCTGTCCGGTGTGCAACAAAGGCTTCATCAGGAGATACCTCATGCGCAAACACTTCAAGAAGAAGCACGAGGATGGGGAAGGGGATGACATGCAGGACATAACTGTCCTAGAGCAGCAGAAGATGATCCTGTGCAACATTTGTGGCAAGACCATGCACTCCTTCCAGAAAAGCCTCATGAGGTACCACGTGCGCATGCACAAAGACGTTCGTCCGTTTGAGTGTACCGAGTGCCCGAAAAAGTTCAGCAGTGAGCATGCCCTGAAGAAACACAGCCTGAACCACAAGAAGCCGTACGTCTGTCAGGTTTGTGGCAAAGGTTTCTCCCGCCGTTATCTGCTCATGAGCCATTTCAAAAAGCAGTGCAAACATTTGATGAAAGAGGAAAACGAAACTTCTGAAAACAACGATAGCGTGACGCCTGCTCGCTTGGAGGATGCAGGAGAGGAAGGTGATGCAGAGGAGAATGCTGAGGATGGTCAACAGCCTGACCCCACACCTTACCAGCCGACGGTGATCACAACTGTCAGTATTGAGACTGGGAAAGAGCGCTATATCTGCCAGCCATGTGACAAACCTTTCATGGTGTACGAAGCTCTGATCCGACACATGAACACATTTGCGCGGCCCACCGCCTGCAGACACTGCGGCAAAGTGTTTGAGGACAAGCACCTGACCAAAGTGCACCAGCGATCCTGTCTCGGCGTGCTTGGGGTCATCAAAGGGAGTGGGATCACGCCGCAGCAGAGTCGCACGTCTGCCTCTTTAGGGCTGAGGCAGGAAAAGGTGCAGCGGATCAGGACAGCAGTGAAAAAGACAATAGACTCGGTGACGGCCGGCCCTGCCACGGCTGAGAATGATGCAGAAGTGTGTGCAGAGGGTGAGACTGTAACTGAATCAGCGCCGAACCAGGTGTCCCAAGTGAGCGAGGTTCAAGATCAATCGTCGCAAGACCAAGCGTCCGAAGTGAGTGAAGTGTCTGCCCACCACCCTGCGGGGGCTGACGGTGTTTTGAATGACTCCGCCTCCGCTGCAGAGAGCAGGAAAGAAGTGGTGCAGCGAACGTTGGTGGTGCTCAAGGAAAAGAAGGGCCGCTTCACGTGCCCGGAGTGCTCCAAGACGTTCGGCACGCCCCGTGGTCTCAAAATCCACGCCAACAGCCACCTGAGGCTGTACAAGTGTGAGACTTGCGACAAGGACTTCTCTCAAGTCGCATCTCTCCGAGCACACTCTCTCACTCACAAAGAGCAAGGTCGAGATACACAGTCTTCGTCCAACCTCACGCAGGAGTTTAGTAGTGAAAGTAAAGAAAATGCTGCACAAATGGGGAAAGAACGAGCTGGGGTTGAAGAGGCTGAAGTAGAGCCTAGCACACCGGTCAGCAGATGGAGAGGAAAGAATAAAATGAAGAAAACAAGAGTTGAAGAAGAGAGAAAAAGTGACAGTGATGATGACTTGATTGCCGAGAGGAGTGTTGAGCATAAAGATCTTGTGGGTGTGAGCCAGCGTTTGATGCAGTCTGGGACACGTGGTAGGCCGTTCAGCTGCAAGATGTGTCGGCGTAGGTTCACGGAACAGCCGGGCTTGGAGTCTCACATGCTGCAGATCCATGGAGTGAGAATGCTGTCTTAGTGTTAGCCATGTCTGGTCTAGGGCCTGGTGGTGTTTTGCCAGCCCAGGTTTTGTTTCTCTTAAAACAGAACGGTGCAAAAGTCTCTTGGTCAGTATTGTTGTAATCATTATCATGTGAAGCTTAAAGGGGGCGCATTGGTGGCATAGTGTATAGAGTCATTTTGGGGTACCGTACAAAATACAGAAAACCGTGTTTACTGGTTCAGACTAAAAAATACAACACACAAAACTCAAACAATGGATTTACAGAAATGAAACGGGGCCAATTCCATCAACAGATTCAACAGTAACAGGACATGAGAAGCTATTTGGGCCAATTGAACTGAGCAGGACAGTCCAGTAAAAATGATAGATATCTATACCAGACTTTAAGCGTGATGCAATCAGGGTGACTGGGCCCCGGGAATTTGAAAAAAATTGCCGAGACCCGGGAATGCCCCAGGAATTTGAGGTAATCTGTAAATTGCCCTGGGAAAGACCCGGGAAAATACATAAAACCAATTCCGATAATGTCCTGCAGTTCATTTTTGCCGGTCACGATTATGATATTATTAATTCGCTTCTTCCCGATCAGAGAGTTCAGTATGTTTCGCGCGAACAGGCAGCCATGGCGGCAAGCGGAAGTGAAGGCTATGTGTGTGATAATGAGGCTCGATCCGGAGAATCAAGACCTGCTTTGGTTACCACCCAGAAATTTGCTGGTCATAGTAATAGTCTGATATTGATAACGCAACATTCGTAACCTGCAGATTGTGCATTACAAATACTGTGTCACCATGAAAATAAATCAATATTAGTTTGTCCTGTGCTGTCACTTGTGAAAAAAAGAAAAGAAAGTTAAACAAGTGTCTTGTTGGGCTCGCCTTCGTGACCGTTCAGTCAACCTTTCACTCGAAGTTCGAGTCTGAGCGCTGTGAATTATAGGGCTGGGGGGTTATTGATTTTTTCTTATATTTTTCATAAGATACACTCGGGGGAGGGGGGGTGGTTGTAGGCAACACCAGAGGACAAAAAGTGAACTTGGAAGCAAACTTAAGCGTTTTGAATTTTGATTACAGTCAAACCTGTGTAAGACGACCACCCATTGTCAAGGAGAAAAGTGGCCGTATAAGACAGGTGGCCGTCTTAGGCAGGACTGATCAAGATGAAGAAAACAAACCATTCTCATCTGAGGTCCCAATCGAAAGTAGCCACATTGTTGTTGTCGGTTTGTATTTTGTTGCTGATTTTGCACAAGGGTGGCAATAAAGCGAAATGTGTTAGACGAGGAAGACCAAGTGCCATGTTAAAACAAACACATGGGTCGCCACCTCTAGGAGCACACGCGACGCTTCTGTCACAAATTCATGTGGACATCCATTGTTGCTTTGTTACAGACAGTGACCACTCATCTCACTTACGATTTGTGTATAAGTTCTGGGCGGGGCTTATGAGTTATGAAGGATCACACACTTACCTCACCAGCAGCTGAAAATTGGTAGCTATTGGTCAACAGTGGGAGGGGCCTACGCAACATGATCGGTTGGAGGGACTACCTAACAACAACGACAGGTGATTGAATTATGACAGCTCGCCCACAACGCCAGGGGCCAATGCATAATTTATGACAAAACGTAATGGAGTCGCTTAGGTGGCCGTCTAAGACAGGTGTTATTGCTTGGTGTGATAGGGGTTGTGTGTTAAAATATGGTTGGACAGGTGCCCTTTTTACTCAGTTAAATTATATAGAAAAAACGCAAGGGGGGGAATGGAAAGTGGCCGTCTTATAGAGGTGGCCGTCAGGGCAGGTTTGACTGTACTTACAAGAGCTCTCTGCGGAGCGCGCGTGACGTTGGTGCTGGCCTTGTGAATCGAGATCCGTCATACTACTCATACCTATAAGAGCCGGTAAGGCGTGATTTTTAACTAAAGGGTTTGCGTTTCGTTGGGTGGGTGATAGTAGATTATTTTTATAATTTTAGCTTTTTGTTCAAGATTAGCAGATTTTCACAGTGTCACTGCATCTTGCCCTCCCAGAGTTCTTACACCTCTCACACTGACTAGGTCTACTTGAGCCATTCAAGTTATTACTCTACTTTGAGTTTGAGCAGTATTTGTTGTTTTTCACGTTTATTTGATCAATCTTGACTCCCAGACTGGTACCTGACAGTCGATATTCTGGTTTTAGGACCTTTCTCAGGCTCAAAACAGGATTCATTTTGATATAATTTTTATATAAAAGCGAATATGATGAGGGGAAAATATGAAAAAGTAAGAACAGACTGATATACCAAAGTCACACAAGACCCCAACACCACACTGGCATGTTGTTGACACACAATGTATATTATTGATATATATTATAAATGTGTGTGTGTGTTTAAATATATAATTATAATATATATAGAACACGATGTCATTGTTATGCAACATGCCCCTGGAAAATGGATGAGTCCCCTTGGAAAATTGAGAAGCCGGGTTGGCAGTCACCCTGTAATCGAGAAGATGTTTGCTAGAAGATTTCATTTTAGCATAATAATAATAGTAGTAGTAGAAGTACTGGAAGGAGAAATTTAAAAAGGCAGGAAATCCGTCGTGAGAAGCTATTTTCCCGGAGCTGATTGTTGTCTTGCCATCTGTTTCTGGTCTCATCCTGCTCTACGTACGTGACAACGTCCATTTGAAGGGAAAGGAATTCTCTCTAAAACAAATGTGAGGCATCGTGGTGAAATCAGGCGCTTGTCCAAATAATGAAATCAAGCATCGTGGTGAAATCAGGCGCTTGTCCAAATAATGAAATCCAGCATCGTGGTAAAATCAGGCGGTTGTCCAAATAATGAAATCAAAGAAACCCGCTTTTCCTGTCCTTTAGGAAAGTTTTAGACTTTTGGTTTTTTTTGGACGAAACACCTTTTAGTTTAAGGTCCACTTAAAAACACATTTCTGTGTGGATTTTACTGACAAATGTTGATTTAAGGCACAAAAATGTAAATCTGCAGTTTGTAATGGCTCTCAAGCTCTGCTTTGGAGGTTGGCAAACATTGACGGCCATTTGTGAGACAGCGTGGTGGAATCAGGCTCTCGTCAAAATACTCAGAGTGAAGAAACCTGCATTTTTCCGCAGGTTTATTTACAGATTTTTATCAAATTTTTGTTTTTTTTCACCTTTCATGCCTATTAAATAACTGATCTCTGCGGAAAATTTTCTGAAAAACGTTGAATAAAGGCACTAAAAATGAAAATTTTCAGTTACCACGGACTCTTAAAGCTAAGAAAATAAATAATCTTTGGCGGCGATTTCCTCACTAATTTTACCTCTGAAAATAGGTGACCTCCCCCTCCTTCTTTCGCAAATATCTCGACTTGTATTTAAGATAAATTGATATTTTTTTTCACCAATATAATGACAAACAAACAAGCTTTAAGATGATACCAAAAACTCTACCTGCCCAAAAATTGACGAGAGCCTGATTCCACCACGCTGCCTCACATTTTCTCACTAATTTTACCTCTGAAACCAGGCGACCCCCACCTCCTTCAATCGCAATATGTCGAATAATTCTAAACATAATGATATGAGTATGAGTATTTTTTTACCGAGCGCAAGACTAATGAACAAGCATTAAAATGATACTAGATCTAATAATAACTCCACATGTCCAAAAATGGATGAGCGCCTGATTCCACCCCGTTGTGACTCAAATGCTTGCTCGTCCTTGAACTTCAAGGAAGGGGGTGTTGATTTGTAATAGGTTTGCAGAATGCTTATGTTTTTGTACAGTATAACAGGGATAGGTCCAACACAGAAGACTCGAACTCGAAATCAGGCATCCGTCGAACTGTGCTTGCGGTCCCTTTTTTTTTCTTCTTTGACTTAAAGTTATCTTTGTAAGATATCCTTCGAACTACCGAGACCGGTCCCAACGAATTCGAACTATCCGTGTTATACTGTTGGCCTACATCTTATTTTATTTCTTCTTCAATGAAATACATACATCATACATGTTCTTTCCTCAACAAGTTTTGTGAGTCTCTATTATGTTGATATTATTGAAGACTGATCAGACCTTTGTTTTTCTTTCTTAATTATCATAAAGTAAGAAGCCGTCATGTGTATTAGTTGTTAATATTATGTACCTGTACAGAAAATTGGTTTGATCTGAGAATGTGCACATGTCGAGAGTATTGTTGTGTGTGAGAGTGGAAGTTGTGATTCTGAAAGTTGTGAGTACTTTTTATCCATTTTTCCTCCACAATAATAAATGAAGGGTAGTTTTAGAAGTCATGACAGCTCATTAATCTGTCCCCTTGGTTTTATGCACTCTGCAAAATTTAGCAAAATTTTGTCATTTTGTGCTTAATTTTTGATTATTTTCCTTTATCATTCTTTGTTAAAATTAACAGAATCGCATAATTTCACTTTTTTGGGCTCAGTTTGCATAATTTCAGAATTTTGTTTTGCATAAAACCACGGGGACAGAATAATAAGTAGACCTTTTTTTTTTTTTTTTTTTTTTGGTCCGTGGCCCTTTTCTAAGATGATATTGACGCCACCTGACTGATTAGCAGATAAATGTGCGTATGATAGTGTCCAATAGTGTATTACCTGTTTTGTGAGATGTTCATACAATTTAATTTAATAAATGAAGAGTCTGAAGTGTGAGTTTGAACAGATAGCTCGTGTTTAATGTTTACTCACAGGACAGGAAGTTGTTCAACAGTTAGGACGTAGTTCTGTCCTTACGTCAACTCGAGTAACTTCACAATAACTAAGTAAACTTAACATCTCTCCCTTAAGTTTTCGACAATTTAAAACTGATGATCTGCTCTTCTAAGATACACTCACAATTACTATTGGAACATAGTTATATTACTGACGAATAACTAGAACACAAAAACAGAAATGTGAGGCAGCGTGGTGGAATCAGGCTCTCGTCAAAATAATCAAAGTTCACAAACTTGCATTTTTCTGCAGGTTTGTGAATTTTTATCTTTTTTTTTTTTTTTTTTGGTTCAACACCTTTCATGCCCATTAAAGAAATGCGTGAGTGGATTTTTCTGAAACACGTTGATTAAAAGCACGAAAAATGTAAAATTTCAGTTACCTCGGACTCTTAAGCTAAGGAAATAACTAATCTTTGACTGCCGTTTTCTCACTAATTTCACCTCTGAAAACAGGTGACCCCACCTCCTTCATTTGCAAATATCTCGACCTGTATTCAAGATAAATGGATATTTTTTTCACCCAAATAAAGACAAGTGAACAAGCTTTAAGATGATGCAAATAACTCAATATGACCAGAAATTGACGAGAGCCTGATTCCACCACGCTGCCTCACAAATAAATAATATGCTTCCTCTCTAGCTTCAACAGCACCAGTGAGTGCCTCTCTAAACTCTCTCACATGAGTGCTTCTCGAAACTCTTGAGTGTGAAATAAAAAAATAAAGTGTGATGTATGCAAATGTCTGAAATGTGTTGGCTTATTATATTATTACACATGTTTAATTATTAACGATTCAGTCTTATTCTGTCCCCCCGAGGCAGTGCCACTAACTGAAGTGTCTTTAGGCCATTCCCAAAGGAGGGACATTTCTCGTTCTAGCACAGTAGAATTGTAAATGGGCTGATTCATGTCACGCTCATAACTGTGCCTGATCTACAACAGGGAACTGCTTCTTTTTCTTTCCTTATCCTTACTATTGTCATTTTCCTCTACTTCTTTTGTATGTTTGTCACACTCTTGTGTCCTGCTATTTCCGGGGTGCCTTGATAGATAGTTGAAGCAGACTTTGTGCTGTTGAAGCTAGAGAGGTGAGCAGAGGAAGTCTGATTCCCTGTAAAGATTTCTCTGTTGACACTCACCCCTTGGAACTCATATGACCTTATGCAGTTGCGAGCGCCTAAAAACCCTCTACTATAAGTTGTTTTTTTTTAAAGTACTCTTAGTTGTAACATTGTTCGTTAATCGTTTCGTTGATTTCCCAAGCACAGGATCATTGTCCTGTTTTGCTCTGCACATGATAGCTGATTAGAGTCTTGGTTCGAGTTTGAACACATGATGCTGAGATCATCTTGTTACAGTTCACACACACATAGATCTACTTATACTAACACAGATGTGTCACCGATGTGTGAACACATACTTATACAAATGTAATATGGAGTGGAGTAATATATATATATATATGAGAGAGATAGCTATTCATGGTGTGGGATTCATTACAATACAACCTGACACAGCAGAAAGAGTTCCGAAAGGATCTTGAAAGTCAGAATACATGTACAGAAAGTGAAAGCGCAAAAAAGTGAAACTGATCATCCAAGTTTACGCCCCTTGAGGAAGATAAAGAAGAATTTTTTCAGAAGTTGGCGGACACCATAGACAGCGTACCTGATGAGGAGGAACTAATCATGATAATCGGAGACATCAATGGACACGTACAGGCCCAAGAAGGACACCATGGGAGAACTACCTTGGACCACACGGTGACAACAGTTCAAATTGTAACTATAATGGGGAACAACTATTACTTAGCTCTCTGTGCAGAGTATGAATGAAACATCACAAATATTTTTTATTTTTACTTTTACCAGCACAGGCCAAGTCAAACCCAGTCGTGGTACAAATGGAGCAACCTAGAAATTTCCTCACAGTCACAGTTACAGACTTCATACTGAGACGAATCGCCCACAGAACAAAAACAACTGATGCAAGACCAATCCCAAACATCACCATTATTTTAATACAGATCACCACCGACCAGTGATGATGATGAGTAAAGAAAAAAAAAACCCACGCGAAAACAGAAGAAGAAACATTCAGAGAAAATAAATTGAGGAAAACTCAATGAAGAGGAGGGCAAGGTGCAGAGCGTTGAGGACGAGATCTCGAACAAAGAGACTAGAAAACCAAGACACCAGTTCAAAGAACGTTGAAGAAACATGGACTCTCCTTAAAAACTTGCTAAGGGGCTGTACAAATATAATCTTACACCTTTTTGGGGACTTTATAAAAAAACAAAAAAACACGTTTCTTGCATTTGCATACCGGTACACTCTTCCTTACTTATTTTACTAATACGAAAAAAATTGAGACTCCTGTCAACTTCAAAAGTGCCTTGGTTACAAATAAAACAAATTACAACGTACAGTGGAATTGAGGATCGAAAAAAAGTGTTGACTTTGAGCAAGGTTGACTTTGTCCATGGTACTACTCGCCATTGAAAATTGAAGATGACAGCTACAAAATGACAAAGTACCTGGTACGTGTAACAAGATGTTAGCTCAATTTCAGTGAGTATAATTCTGAAGTTGTCACCAAAACAAGGGATAATGAGTGAACTAAGTAATTGGAGGTGTGTACACCACTAGCTCAGGACGTCTCTTAGTTTAGTTTAGTACAAAGTTTTACGGCACTTGAAACACAATAAGGTCATATAAGTGCCGAAGATTAGAGGTGTTACAAGAGAGTAACAACAAAGGAGGAGAGATAAGGACGATAGATGTTTAAGAGGAAAGAAGGAGCAAACCACACCAGAGCACCCGCCAACCACCCACTCAGGACGTCTCTTCTTAAATGAATTCATCTTTTTCTTGGGATTTAGCCCCAAATTTACGCAAGGTTAACAGACACTCAAGCGGTTGACTGTACATTTTGTATCCGAAACTCAATAACTTAAGGGGGCTCTCGTGGCCAAGAGGTTAAGGTGTTGGCCTCTCATTCAAAAGGTCCCGGGGTAGCGACCGAAAAATTTTATTCTCTAAATTTGTCTCCTTTCACCTCATTTCCTGCTCTCTAGCAATGTACTGTCGCCTGCTTTCG